TGATCATTGTGATGATGGTAATTATTTGACGTGATCATTGTGATGATGGTAATATTTGATATATTACCATCATCACAATGATCACGTCAAATAATACCATTATCACAGCTTAGTCGCGTTTTTTCCAGTACCGTTGCTACGATAGTAAACATCTACGCCACATCTTCAACACTCGTAACTTCGTTCAGAATAACGACATTTTCAATATATTATTAATTTTCATGATCTATTTTTAAACTGTTACATAATGCATCCATAAGGAGAAACAAAACCAGAAAATGAAATTACCTACGACACCATCATCATAACCAACTTGGAAACCATTAGATGTAACCTCTGCCATGGATAATGATTTACTATAAGCTCTAACAGTAAAGTAATAAGTAGCAGATAATGGTACTAGCTCCAGGTCGTAGAATGTAACGGTTTTATTTAAACCAACTTTAGTAAACGGTACAACATTATCACGTGTTTTAGGGAATCTTCGATCTTTCCCAACAGCGACTTCATAATATTCGATATCTTGGTACGCTCTCGATTTTTTGACTTCAACTCCAAGATTACCTGGAAGATAAAACATAGACTGGGCTATTGAAAAGTGTTGATAGTTTGGATATAAAAAGATGGGAATGCAGGAGGGAGGGGGTGGGTGGGGGTGGGTGGATGAAGAGACTCTCTGAGTTAGGACATACAAGGGTGGATGGGGGTGTGTGTGTGGGGGGGGGGGTATCAAAATTGGCGTGGATCGTGAAAATTTTGCAGTAAAAACTAGCGGATTGTGAAAATGTTGTATTAAAATTGGATCAATCGTGAAAATGTATTAAAATTGAACGGGTTGCTGATTACAAAAGATCTATATATAGGTAATTCAGGTATTTTGTTAGTTTTTATGATAATTATGTTTATCTAGTACTTACCAGAATCTACTTGGATATCAGCAGCACCTTCAGTCACACCAAAACCATCCCAGTTAGCAGAAACTTTATTTTTAGTATATACAAAGTTTAGATCATATCCGACAACATCTCCATCATACACTTGTCCTGGTATTAAGGGTTCTTCTTCTATCGTGACACCATTAGATCGTAGATAGTAGGTAAAACCACCAGCATTTGTTACACGTAATAAAATATAATATCTTTCTCCGTTCTTTAGGTCTAGTTGATCGTTCACGCCCACTGTTTGTCCTGTAAGCAAATCAAACGTTCTATTTTTCTATATCAAGATGACAACATGCCATACAGTATGCTATGATGGCAAGATAGCGGTGTTTAATAACAGATTGCTGTTTATTAATTTGATATATCAGCCAAAAAAAACCCCCCAAAAAACAATTCACTAGCAAAACAGAATAATATATTCCCATGAAGACCTGGATTAAGAACTCTTCTTGAAGAGATTATTGTACGCCCCCCCCCCCCCCCCAACCATGTGTATGTAATTAAAACAAAACACTACTAACCCGTATAATATTATTTTATCTATCTAAATATTTTTGTATTTGTATTTGTTTTATCTATTTATTGTGGGTCCCCATTTTGTGGTCCCTGATTCAGCAGCAACATTAGCACCATGGTCCATTGTAAATCTGACACGGGAACTATTTGTTTAATTGTTTTAATGGTTAATCCAGGCTGTTAAAGACATATATAAAAGCTATAATTACCTTTAGTATCGATATAGTCCTGTACCCTTAAACCATCAATTCTTTCTATAGCCCATTCATATTTACTTACTGGACATGGATCACCAGATACATCCCATCGTGATCGTATAGTATTCAAATTAGTCTGGAAATCACTGTAAATAATAATAAAATCACGGTAACAATAATGATGACGATGTTGATGATAATGATGATGTTGATGATGATGATGACGATGATGATGATGATGACGATGGTGATGAAGATGACGATGATGCTTCAACGTATTTTCATACGTGTAAGTTGTAATGATGATGATGACGATGATGGTATTGGCTACATGAACTAACAGATGATGATGGCCAGACAGCTATTGTCACCGTCACAGTGCACAGGTAACTATAGAAATGACAATTACACACGCTAGTCCTACAGTGATCGAATTATTGTGTTGATTCCCTCGCAGCCTGACGTCAATGGTAACAGTAGAATATTTTAGATATTCGAAGATATGATAGGCCCTTGTTCCAGATAGGAAAGGAATAATTCTAGGCAAATAGAACAAGGAATAATTCTAGACAAACTACTTACATGTCTCCCGTTAGAGCATCACCATCCCATACACCGATATTACTTAATGGTGGTAAACCTTGACTAACATACGATAAATATACACCATTTGATGTTGATATTGTACTTAAACCAGCTCCATTAGTAGCCTTGATCGTCACAAATACCTGAAAACCATTCACATGGTTATAGTTATACATTGCAAATAAACAATTTTAAAGACTTTTCGATATAGACAGAATGGATTTCATCATAAATACTTCATACTTCGAGAATAGATCTATGCCGTGAATGGCCGCCATATCCAGAAATTAATATTTTGTATTGTAATGCAGTTCTACTGCGGTTCACAGCTGTCATACACACAAACACTACTTAAACCTTTTTGATTGCATTGGATGGGAGTAGAATAAATAATACTAAAAAAACACGAAGTATACTTATAGTGTTCGCCAATTTATAGCTTAAAATGTGGGTCAAGTAGCTTAGTGTCTCTTTTCAAGCGGAGCTAACTGTAGACAGGCAGCCGAAGTTTAGTATGGGGTGTTGGGTTGCTGAACTAACAAATGCGGACGCACTATCGAGCAGGAACCGAGCGTGATGTCATAACAGCCATCTTGGAACTGTGACGTTAAACCAAAATTCGAAATCTGTCAATCGATGCACAATTGTCCAAGGGACAAGCATGACAGGTTTCGCGATCATCCTACTTAAATTGACGGAGTCTTAGACGTTTTCCAAGAGCAAGAACAAATGAAATGAAATGGGGTTTAACGTCCTACTGCTCTGCGCCGAACTGGGCTAATGAACACGGGCATACGCCATACAGTGTGCTATATGAGGGACATTTTGCCCGGACAACGGCACTACGGCCTACTCTTGCAATGAATTCCAACTGTCAAGGGATCTTTTACGTGCACGCCAATGTGTACAAGGACCTCGGTTTTTCGTCCCATTCGAACTACTAGACATCTGTCCTGGTCAGCCCTTCGAAGAGCAAGAACAACAAGAAGAGTACGGATTGGGTGTTAGTTCCTGGTTCACAAATGCACTGTGACTAACGAGTCATAATCGACAAGAACAATGTCACTGATGTAACCATCCAGACGCTTTGTAGATAGTTAGTCTCAGTTAACCAGTGTAGATAACAGAAGTCAATTTGACAATAGAACACATACATGTATCTACAAATAAAACCTCCTCTCTCTCGTTTTTAACTTACCTGTTTCATGCCTCGTAACATGAGATTTTTGACAGTTAAATATCGTTTGTCGACTGGAACAGTGAAGAAAGGTTTGATTTGTCCTCCTCCACGGGTTGTACCGATGGCTACTTCATACCTTTAAATATGGTAATTAAATATAGGCTCGAACATCTATAATACTGCCGTAGTTATTAAAATACACTCAAATACATTTTACAGTAGAGAACCGGTCAATTACCAATGTCTACACCGTGTAATTGGAACATTCTTTAGTATTTAAAAAAAGAACAGAAACCCCTAGATTTAAGAGATCCTAAGGCAGAACACTGATACACTACAGTAACGATACTAGTTAGACCCTACGACAGACCCTTATGGCACTCCAGTAACAATACTAGAGAGAGAGAAATGGGGTTTAACGTCCACTCGACAAAAACTAGGTCATTTCGGTACTAACACATGGTTCAATTTTATTTCAGACCGTGTGATACAGAGCGTGCGTGCTAACCATTCGGCCACCCCCCCCCCCCCCTAGTAACAATACTAGTTAGAATATATGTCCATAGGTTTAACATGACTTTTCATTAGCCGTATACTGACTGGTCGCAATTATTTTGGAGAACAATTCAATGGCTGCTTTCTACGACAAGAAATATCATTTTTGGATCATTATGATTTAATATTAAAGGTATTTACTTGACAATCTTTGTTTCTGGATCTGTGAAAGATGACCATGCAATATTTATAGTTGATAAAGATTCCTGGCACACAGCATCTATTTTACCACAATCTAAATAAATCAACAGAAATACAAGGAACTGGATTCGTAAATAATACATTTAAATACTAATTACACATTAAAGCAGCCTCTTTAAACTTATATATCATAAAATATCAACAAAACCGTAAAGCTGTACTACCACTTCGTTCCACGGTAAACAATGAACAGATAACAGGCGACATTTTAACATTTTAAAGTACCCTTTCGCTCATCTGGGGAGCTCATCAGATATAATGTAATACCTTCAAATGTGTTAAAAGTATATGGTCAAAATATAATCCAGGTAAAATATGTAATAGTAAGTTGAGCTTCTAAAAAGGCAATTAACAACTCTGGCCCCGAATTCACAAAGCATTCTCAGACGTAAGTTGAGAATTTACTATAAATTGTTCACCTTATTTAACTAAAATATAGCCTTTTATAAAACTTTTACTTTTTTCTAATGTATCAAATACATCAATAAGAAACTATGTGCAAAGTTTTGTGTTTCTGGATCAAAGATATTTCTCAAAAACAGTGATTGAAAGTTGAGTAAATTCTTAACTCAAGTCTGAGAATGCTTTGTGAACTTAGGGCCTGGAAGCTGGTGAGATATAATGTACATACCTTCAACAGTGTTACAAGTATAAGCGTTGAGTTCGGCCGTGGATCTATCGCTTGTTACATTGATGACATACTCTGTGCTTAACTCGACAACTCTGCCTTGTAATGGTGGTGTTACGTCCACACTGATACCATTTGATATAGCTGATATTGTTTTACCTACAGCGTTTGTAGCTGTTACTATCGCAAAATACACGTTACCATGGCTTACAGTATCTGATAAATCTAGAGAAAAAAAAATACACGTTACCATGGCTTACAGTATCTGATAAATCTAGAGAAAAAAAAACAATTGATAAGAATATAATCAAAGATAAACATGAAGCTATATTTAATCCCGAGAGAAAGAAGGAGAAATGGGGTTTAACGTCCTCTCGACACAAACTAGTTCATTTCGGGACTAACATATGGTTTAATTTTATTTCAATAATTCGCTTGCGGGTAGGGGTCTTTAGCAGTAGGGGGAAACCTGAGAAAACCCACAAGGTTGGACAGGCGACCCTCCTTGTCACGTACAACCGGGGATTCGAAACCATGCCAGTTGACTTAATGGCTTATGATACAGAGCGCACGTGCTAACCATTCGGCCATCCAACCCTGTATATTTAATCCAGGACATTGGAGCAACACCAATTTCATCAAGTAACAATCACGAAGTTTTGGTAATATTTGAAAGATGCACTTTAAATTATCTAGATAAACATCACATTTTGATTTTAGTTTGTATGACTACAGACCCACAACTCTACAGCACAGTAACAATCACACAAACTTCTGATTTTAGTTTGTATGACTACAGACCCACGACTCTACAGCACAGTAACAATCACACAAACTTCTGATTTTAGTCTGTATGACTACAGACCCACGACTCTACAGCACAGTAACAATCACACAAACTTTTGGTAATATTAAAATATCTGTGTAAACATCACAATTTGAGTGAAGTCTGTATCACTACAGGCCCGGTTCTGTACAGCGCATTGAACATTTTACAGCTAGCCCCTGTATCCAGTCACTTGATCTGATCTATACACTTGTTGTTTGTGATGTCTGTATATTGTGCCTTGTCCATATATTTGTCTTGTGTAATTGTTTATGTGTGCCAAAATTCAAAACATTTCTCACGTCCGAGGGTGGAGCTGGTGGGGACAACCGCCCGGAAACCATATGTCCTTAAACAACATGCCCTGATTTGATTATATTTTAATTGAACGTTCTTCATGATTTAAGATGGCGAACTTCACCCATATGTAAAATGGGTCATCACGAGTTCAATAATGGTGATTGTTACTTGATCAGTCATTAAAACAGGTGACGTACAAAATGTTAATTTCATGACTAAGTAGATGAAGTCTTTACAGGGAATCTGAATCACTGGGGTATACAGGTGGGACAGTTTTTAACAGCAGTAGGACATTGACCCCATGCCTTCAGTCTATATAAAATAACTCACGCTGTACCAGGTAAGACGTACTAGACGAAGTTTATATAAAATAACCCACCTTGTACCAGGTAAGAAGTACTAGTTGACATTTATATAAAATAACTCACCTTGTACCAGGTAAGAAGTATTAGAAGAAGTCTTTATAAAGGGACTCACCTTGTACCAGGTAAGAAGTACTATGTCCAGGTAAAGATTTGGGTTGTATAATATCTTTTAATCCTTCTTGAGATCCGAGTCCAAATGAAAACTCAACAATCGGACTCTCGGAATCAACAAATCCATCCCATGTACATTTCATAGATGAGTGAGGCTGAAATACACAAATAGAAACATGTACATTCATTTTCCCCCAAAACAAAAATATGTTCCCAATAATGTTACAATGATAATTATTATTCAATATTTATCAGATTTTACATCACAAGTTATTCTAAACAAATCTTTAGCAGTCTTTCATTTACCTATAGGTTTAAAAGGTTGAAGTCTAGGGCTTCTGGTCAAGGTGAATAAAAGGTTGAAGTCTAGGGCTTCTGGTCAAGGTGAATATGTTTGACACTGCCATACGCCTTCTTACAGAGACCGGAGTCTTAAAAATCCATCATCATTCTCGGCATTGACCATTCACCTTCCTCTAGTTGTGAGGGTGGGGGGGGGGGTGGTGGTGGTGGTGGAATGATCCACTCGATAGAAACTAGGTAATTTCGGGACTAACATCGGGTTTAATTTTATTTCAATAACTCGCCTGAGAGTGGGAGGAAACCGCAGGACCCGGAGAAAACCCACGAGATAGGACAGGTGACCCTACTCCCTGTCACGTACATGAATGGAATCGAAACACGCCACTCAATGACAGACCTTAGGATCTAACGCGCACACGATAAAACATTCGCTGACCCCCCCCCCTCCCCCAGGTAGATAAGAATATAAAGTAAACTATACTATTCAAAAAAAGTAGGGGATATTTGATTTTTAAGTGTTATTAAAGTCACCTAATGAAACTGACGAAGAAACAAATGACAAAATGAAATGAAGTTCACATTCATCGATTTATTCCAAATGATCGTTAGACTAAGTAAGGCACAGACTGACCATTATAAGGGTAAAATGATACCCGGGGTCAAACAGCAAAGTTACCACAGCATCACAACCAAGTCAGTAACGGGTAAATCCTCCTCTGTTTGCCAAACAAGCATTGATCCGACGTGGCATACTCCTAATGAGACGTCTAAGGTCATTTTGGTCCAGATTGTCCCATTCCTGTTGCAACGCAGCAGCAAGTTCTTGGACATTGGCAGGACGTTGTTGACGTTGACGTAACCTCTGTCCAAGCATGTCCCAGACATGCTCGATGGGGGAGAGGCCGGGACTCAGTGCTGACCAAGGTAATGTGGTGATGTTCTGTTGTTGGAGGTAACCTGTAACGATCCTGGCCCTGTGACATCTTGCGTTGTCATCCTGGAAGATGAAACGGCGGCCATGACGTCGTGCGAACGGCACAACATGGACTGCCAAGATGTTGTCCCGGTAGTACTGGCCTGTAACACGCCCTGCAACAACATGTAAAGCCGTTCTTCCAGCAACAGTGATGCCTCCCCACACCATAACAGAACCACCCCCAAATCGATCATGTCTGATGACGTTAACGTCTTGGAAGCGCTCGTTTCGACGACGCCACACCCTCCTACGTCTGTCCAAAAAATCAACAGTGAACCTTGACTCATCTGAAAACATCACATTGCTGCAGCGTCGATTATCCCAGTGTTGACGATCCCTACACCAACGACGTCTTGCCTGAATGTGATGATCTCTCAAACAAGGGATCACGCGAGGACGTCGGGTGCGAAGGTGACCCCTATGCAGTCGATTCCGAATCGTCTGGCCACTCACTCTCACACCAGTGTCTGTTTGAAGACGAGCGCTGATCTGATTTGCTGTGATGACACGATTTCTCAAGGCCAAGGTACGGATAAATCGATCCTGGGCTTGAGTTGTCGCCCTTGGTCGACCTGAGCGTGGTCTGTCCTGTACAGATTGTGTATCACGGTATCTGGACCATAGCCTGCTTATGACAGACTGAGAAACATTCATCGTCCGCGCCACAACCGCCTGTGTTGTGCCGATCTGTAGCATGCCAAGGGCACGTAACCTTTCATTTTGGGTAAGCCGACGCATATCAAAATTTGTTTTCTGGTCACTAAAACAATTAAACTGATGTTTCCACCCTGGAATTCAATGCCACAATGACTGTAACATTCAAAGTCAGAGTCGTGCAAATCTTGGGTTGGACCCCCATGATGATCCCAAGCATCACCTGCATTCCATGCGGTAGCTATTGGTGCGTTTGGGCGTCACATGTAACTGGAAATGTTTCTTCTGTTAGGTTCTATAGTGACTTTTTTCGTAGTCATTTGCATATTTTAGTATTATGCCCCCAAAATCAAATATCCCCTACTTTTTTTGAATAGTATATAATACCTACCTGTATAAATGTTGGACAGGTAACTGTACCTCCAACAGGTGGTGTTGTATCAACTATCAAGGTAGCTGATGTAGTTTTACCTATTATTCCAACCTTATTCTCGGACCAGAATGTTACAATGTTTGGTTTACCTGTAAATATTAATACACATGTTCATGATTGTCAAAATCTTCAGTCAATAGGTTTGTCGTTCCAGTATTACAGAGTTTCTAGACCCTTGTAATAAAATATTTTACTATACTTGTAATAAAACAAGTTTGCGTTATAGCGAAATGGCGTTATAGCGAGAGATCGTAACACATCACTGGCAAACTCTCCTTATAAACCAGGAAATATTTACCGGGCAAAGCAGTACACTGTGTCCCCTACCTAAATAGAAGCGAGTGTCAATGTCAACTTTTAACACAATAACAGTTATTTAGAGTATTTATTTATTGACAGCAAGTGACAAGATACATAGATTAGTTACTTACCATCAGTGGCAGGTTTGACCTCTCCAACTGGAAGTGAACCCTCGCCATTTAAGAATGTTGTTAATGAAGTGACAGATCGTGTATCAGCACTATCCGGGTAAGTACCTACAGCATAATACATCTTAGCTAATCCACTTTCATTGTCCACCATCTTGAAATTTACAGCCATCGAATCTACTTCAGACTGGTAAATCTTGTTACCGGCTGATACATTCTGTTGTCCAGTCACTTTAAAAAGACTAAAACAAAAATAATAATAATAATAATCTCTCTATAATGCGCTGTTTCCATGACTAAGCATGCTCAAAGCTAATTATAGTATAGATAAACTGAGAATTTCAGACGCCATATTTTGTGCTATGGGTAATTTTGCCTGGATAGCTCCGTATGCGCCTACTCTTATTTCGAATTCCAACTGCCGCGTGGGTTCGATAACGTTGGTGGCGTTTAAAGCCAACTCGACATAAACCAGGTCATTTCAGGACTAACAGTGGGAGGGGACCGGAGAACCGTTAGACAGCCCACATTGTTGGGCATGTAAACCTACCACTTGCGATTGAACCTACGTCACTTGACTCAGTGACAGGGTTTGTGCTCTAAAGCGCACCAACTAGAATTAAAATACAATATGGTTTAACGTCCTACTTTTCTGGAAGACGGCAAAGTGACTAACCTGTTAATGGTTATAATTGGAGGAGTTATATCCACAGTAAAACCATCAGATATCGACTCTAACACATTACCAACATTGGTTATACCTCGTACTGTGGTAAAATAGGTTTTACCAGATTCTAACGGTAATACAGCTTGACCATATCCAGAACTGGCAATACCTATAAATATATAGTACCAATATATAGATAACCCAAATATGCACATGTTTATTTTATATGTCCAGATGAATCCCGACGCAGGATACCAACATCATCTGATCAGGAGACATGTACTCAAAATCACAAAATCCAGCTCGTTTAAGATGATGGACAATGTGCCACAATGATTCCTATTCTAGAGGTATTTGTATCATTTACTGCTGTGTGGCGAATCCATGACTTTTGCATAGATAGTCGACCCTTTAATCTACCCAACCTGTACCTTCGACTTATGGGGGATGGGAGAAACAAAATAGAGAACAATAGTACATATTTATAAATAAAAAGCACTCACCGTTGCCAGGTATATCTAAAGCGTCCTCGTGAATTAAACCAGCTGTAAGGAAGGGCTGGATATCCTCTCCACCAGCTGTAGTCCCGACTGCCCAGTCAAACTTAGATATACCATGGAGAGCACTCTCAAAGCCAGAGAACTGCACCGTTACTGCTCCAGTGTCTTTCTGGAAGTCAACGTCTACACCAGTTGATCCCGACTGCTCGGTGCCATCAGCACCATCAATGACGATACCTAGGATACAGTACAAATGTAATTAAATACAAAACAGAACGAATCTCCCCGAACAATTCAGCAATATAGCGCATCCGAGGAGAAACATGATCTATGAGTGTTAAAAGGCCAATCAAGCCAGTTTCGTTTTATCAATAGCCAAACAGTCCGACCCTGTTGAGAACACGTGGTATCGAGTGTTCCCGAAAGATACCAATAGGCGATACTATTAGGTATACATATTATCAATAGAACCAGTTTAATTATCAGGTAATACATTAATATTCTTCCAATCAACCCTCAACAGGTCAAAAGGTCACTACCCTTTCATTTAGTAACCCCACCCCACCCTTCGCCTAAACCCCACATTAACTCCACCCTACATGAAAATGAAAACCGTCTCTGGATTGATTAACTGATAAGTCAAGAGTGAACGTTGTAACGAACCTGTTTTGTCCTCTTCTACAACCTTTATAGGAGTGGACGTTAATACCCCACTCTCTAAACCAGCTCCATTGATAGCCTTTACAGTTACATAATAATAGGGAGAGTTGTCGGTCTTGACTTGTAAGGTGATGTCATCAATATAACCATCTCTGTCTGATTCCATATTCCGCCATGACAGTATATCTTGATCGCCTATAGAAAACAGCGTGAGATTATAACATCATTAAACTAAACTAAGATATATTAGCACCCCTTCATCGTTTGGATTGTTTAAGAAAAATTTGAAAAAGCCCCTGTTTTTAGTGTTTTTTTCTCAGTAATACATCATTTTGATTTAGGCATTGTAATATTTTATGCAATAATGAAGTATATAAAGTCTTTTACAGGTATGGCTTATTTGTATTTTGGTTTATTTGTATATTTAATTTCTGTACCATATGTTGTAAAGCGCACGTAAAAGAACCCTTGGTAGGAATTCGAAATAAGAGTAGACCGTAACGCCGCTGTCTGTTTACGAATTTTCCCTCAAAGCACACTATATGCGGCATGCCTGTCTTTATTAGCCAGTCGGAACAGAAAAGTAGGACGTTAAACCCCATTTTATTTCATTTATAAAGCAGCATGAGTTTAACTTACCTGATGTTGTTCCAACAGAAACTAGATACGTCATGATACCACTGACGTCATCTGTAGCAAACCACGTGGCTTTAATACCTTTAGTATCAGCTTGTAAAACATGGCCGTCTATAACCTCTTCATCTTCACCATTAAATATACCAACATGTACCCATTGCATCTTTATAAAATAATATACCGATAGAACATCTTTATAAAATAACATAGCGTTAGAGCATCTTTATAAAATGATATACCATATCACTTCTTATTCAAGGGGTTACCTTTCTAATGAGGAAAGGGTAACTGTTCCCAGAGCCTAACTGTTCTGATGAGGAGAGGGCTCTTGAAAGTTACTGAAACGGAATATTGACGCTTTGGTCGTGGTTGCAGGCGGCGAATAGTCTTTCGCCACTGGGCAGTACCGGTTCAGGGTTGGGGGCGTCGGGAGTGATACTATTTTTCATAATTGCTTAGGGGAGAGATCCCCACAACTCTGATGCATCGGGCCGCACTGGGCCCTTCGCTTTATGTTCTTAATTCCCCCATTGACATGCCCCGAGCAACCCACAAGGTGAATATAAAATCAAGAAGACTAACGTACCTTAGGTGGCGTGTTGTCCAAGAGGAAACCATTAGAATCATAGGTAGCTACAGCATTAGCTCCATTAACAGCACCTATTCTAGCAATATATCTCGCACCATTAACTAGCTTCAGATTATCAACAGTTAAACTTTGTGCTGTACCGTCCATTATATCTGTCCATTCTCCAGCAGTATCTAAAAAAAATAAAATAAATATAACATATTTTTAGTCTAAAATAAATAATAAAATATAAAATCGATCCAACCGTAGCTCACTCGACCCCTCAAAATATTTATGTTACCATTGTATCCATGCGTGTGAAACACCCTCAAATCTTTTACTAAAACATGTCTCAATTAGAAGGTCAATTGGTCCTTTCTGGTCGGATTTTTTTTAAAAAAAAAGAAAAAAAAAAAGGTGAGAATCGCCCGATTGCACCCATTTTCAGATAGTCTCAACCCATGTCCAGGTTCTTGTGATCTTGATATCAGATTGTTTCAAACAAAACACCAAACAAAATGTCCACTCAACACAAACTGTCGGGACTAACATATAGTTCAATTTTTATTTCAATAATTTACTTAGTGTCTTTGGCAGTGGAACGAAACCGGAGGACGCAGGGAAACCCCACGAGCTTGGACAGGCAACCCTACTCCTTGTAGGATCGAAACCATGCAACTTGACTCAGTGACAGACCTTATGGTCTAAAGTGCACGCGTTAACCCATTTAGCCAACTAATACCCCTACCCCTCCTCAATCAGGTATATAATAAAACTTACCTGGAATTATTTGATGTTTAGAACCTTGTTGTAATTTATAAATCTGATATTTATAATGATCTATTCCAGATTCGTCATCAACAAATTTAAAATTAGCCATTATACTTGTTTTTGTTGACTAAAATAAAATATCAACAAATTTAAAATTAGCCATGATACTTGTTACTCTTGACTAAAATAAAATAACATAAATAAAATAATTTAAAAAAGAAAAATAAAGTTATCATATCGAAACTAGCTATATGTCGCCAAACAGGCTATATGTCGCCAACCGGGAAATATGGCTCCAACCGGGATATATGGCTCCAACCAGGATATATGGCTCCAACCGGACTATATGGCCTCAACCGGACTATATGGTGCAAACCGGGCTAAATGGCTACAACCGGACTATATGGCCCGACCCGGTGATATGACTCCAACCAGAATTCATGGCTCCAACTGTGCTATATGGCTATAAACGGAAGATATGACTCCAACCGTGCTAAATGGCTCCAATTGGGCGATATGGCACCAGGCACATGATGATATTAACGAGACAATAAGTATAAATTACCTGATAATCTATATCTGTTTGTTGAGTACCACCATCATTAAGATAGATTAATCTTGGTGGTGTTAAATCTACTATATAACCATCTGTTTCCTCTACAATCTGTCCTAGAGCTCCATTTGTTGTTCGTAACTTCGTCTTAATACTATCACGATGATGGAGATGGAAATTGTGCCATTCAACAGATTCTGTAGAATTATCCATTTCATGCCAATCTCGTACAATCTCAAAATTGTTAGTTTTGTTTCTAAAATATAGAACATTACAACCATTATATTTCTGTGCTTGATAACAATACAGGGATATTTATCGAAACGTTGTATTTACTCTCCTATTATTCTATAATCTATTGTCTATGTCCTCGTAAGGAGCTTCGTCTTTTATTTTGTCCAGACGAAAATTCTTTATGTTTTCTGAGCTTCATTGTCTGTAGAAGGAGTGACCAAGATATTACATAGCGTGAGCCATATAAATTTTGTACAATCCCCACCTTTCCCAATTTATTAAAACAATATTTTATTAGTTTAAATTTACAGAATTTATATATATAATAAATACAGGGTACGATAACAAGCTTTATAAGCTGATATAAAATCGCTTCCTAATTTCAATCCAAAAAGCATATTTCAACCAAAACAGATTAATATGAAAGATGATAAAACTGATGAGCACGACGAAATAATAAAATCGGTAAAAATAATCATCACTGGGATGCAATACCCAGATTTCTAATTTCTAATACCCTACGTTTGGCGCATGCGCCGGAGCTTGGCCATCTTTAGTCTATAGAATGACTGATATTAGGCCTACCGTAAATTTTGTAAACAATATAATTACCTGGCCCGTAGTATCTGAACTTCGTAACTTCTGATATTAGATTCCGGATCCGAGTGACCCCTCCATTGTGTTGCTATGGTAGCAGTTGCAGCACTAAACTCTATGTCAACAAAATTATCCTTTAGACCATCAATAACTTCTCCCGTCTCGGGTACAGTTAGATCAACCGTTACTAAAAATAGATAAAATATATTCAGTTAGCTTCCTATGAGAGAGGGGGAGAAACGGGGTTTAATGTCCACTCGACACAAACTAGGTCATTTCGAGACTAACACATGGTTCAATTTTATTTCAACATTTCGCTTGCGCCTAGGGGTCTTTAGCAGTTCTTTCATATCAATCAGTGTTTAATGAAGATTAAAAAATCCTATAGTTCAAATATTGAGCAGTAATAATACCCACCTGTGTATTTCTAAATACCAGTGAAATAATTAACGTCTTTTGAATTCTAACCTACCCTTAAATATTTGTAAATCTACCTTGCTTACTATGCACATGCTTAGAATTTAAATATAACTGTGTATTTTGCGGTAAAATATCAAGTTTCTCACGGATTAATCCATTGTAATATGTACTCAGAGTGATTATTTAACATTTAATTAAGAAAACAAAATCAAAATACTAACGCTAGATAATCTCAAGACATGGATTTGATCTGAGTTAGAAAAGGTCCATCAATAATAATTCGTGGACAATAAAATGGCGGCGGGCAGCATAGATCGATGAAATTTTAATTCCACTGAACGGAACTGAATCATTTTTGGACTGATATTCATAATATAGATTCATCCACCTTTCTCGATATAATATGTATGGCTTATTTCAATTTGTATTTTAGTTTATCTATTTTATTTGTATATTTAATTTATCTACCATATTTTGTAAAATTCATATGGGCACTTCATCGTGGATTGTGCGCGCTATAAAAATGTACAATAATAATAATAATATTGTAGTTTGCAGGAAATTCCTATTGGGCTAAATGACGCAATGGGGCTTTAATAAACAAAAAGAGAAAGAAGAACCAACCTCCATTTGATCGACCGGAAGTATTCATCTGTTTATGACCAGCATTAAAGGCCCATAACTCTATATAATAATTCTTGCCGTGTTGTAGAGCATTATCTACTAAGTCAATACAAGCCTGGTGTGTTCTGTGATCAAAATCGGTACCGTTTGTTAAATACATGTCATTTTCTGATGCACGAACAAACACGGAGAAATATGAGATTCCTGATTCCGGATCGTAGAAATCAACCCAGTTGGCACAAATCTATAAATAAATAACCATTAAAACAGATATAATTAAAAACATGTCCATAAGTATGTACAGTGCTGGATTTGTCTAATAGGCTTGGCAGGATAAAGTCCAGGACCTGAAGATCTAGAGGGCATTTGCTCAACGTGATTAATATTTTGGACACTGTCTGAAACCCTTCTTACACTCACTTTAGTGTTAAAACAACCTTTCTTACACCCACTTTAGTGTTAAAACAACCATCATTAACCTGACCCTGAATTCACAAAGTATTCTCAGACATAAGTTAATAATTTACTCCCAATTGTTTGTCTTATTTTAACTAAAATATAGCCCTTTATAAAACTTTTGTTGTTTTAACGTATCAAATACATCAAAACGAAACTATGTGCAAAGTTTTAGGTTTCTGGCTCAAAGATATTTCTCATAAACCGTGACTGAAAGTTGAGTAAATTAGTAACTTAAGTCTGAGAATGCATTGTGAACTCCGAGCCTGGACTTTGCCCAATTGTGTTTAAAACATACTGTCGTCATCTGCCTTTCGTCGTGAGAGCGCGCGCGCGCGTGTGTGTGTGTGTGTGTGTGGGGGGGGGGGGCCACACGGTGAATAGTCTAGTTTAGTATGTGTTATAGTTTAGAAAACAGTTGTTCCGAACGGTTCGGACGTCAGTTCAATTTGCCATGTGCAATTGTCTGGGTGGCGCAGTGAGTAAGTCACAGGACCCCACGTGAGCGACCCAACGTCCTACTCACTGAGCCACAGGTGTATAAAGGTAGAACGTAAAACATAAAGGGAGCGACGAGGAATTAAATGACTTACCTTGTTACTGTCTTTAGTATAAATCAAGTCATGTTTAAAGAGAGGTCCATCATAAACTTCCCCAGCTATTGGTGGTGTATTATCCAAGATAAGAGGATGATCAGCCGACTTGATGGCTGACATATTTACTGTAAGTAAAACAACGATTACTAGTATTAGCTATAATGTTATACTTAAAAACTAAAAAAAAGAATTCTGTCTTCTAACAGCTTTCACGTCTACCGACCAACCCGCCTTTATAAGCCCACTGGGAGCAGTACAGTAGGACGTTAAATCACATTTAATTTAATTTCTACCAAAAATATTACATCCCCCCCCCCACCAGCTGGTTCACAAAGAGAGGTAAATCATAGTAAGGACTTTAGGACAACTCGACAACGAATAGTTACAAGGGATAAATTGTTCGGGGACGAATTGTCCTGTAATCCATAATGCGACCATACAGAAATGGAGGATTAAGAAATAATTAATCATAATAAGACCAGGTAAAAATGAAGGATTACCATTATTCCATGCTCGTATCTTCACCCAGACAGGAATTCCACCTGGTAAAGCTGTGTTATGGATGACTTGTTCCGAGTGTTCATAACGAGTCCAGTCGGAGATGCCGCAATCTTTTGTTGTTTGCCCCAGACATAAATCGATTTCCTTGATATCAGACTCAGGATCCCTAAACAAATATATAAAGTTCATATTATAAAGTATTTCTGAAATCTGGGGTCATAATGTCATTCTGCATTACTATACTATTTTGTTATGCGGTTCTACTGCTTCACATCTGTTATACACAAAAAAACTAAATAAACCTGTTCTATTCCATTAAATGGAAGCAGAATAAATACTTCTCAGTACTTAGTGTTTTCGACTAAAATCTTCATTTAAGACGTAAAATGTAGGTCAACTAGCTTAGTGTCTGTTGTCAAGGGGAGCTAACGGTAGACAAACAGCATAAGTTTAGTATGTGTTGTGTACATGTCAAATTCTCAGCCTAATTTTATTCCTTGTTTTCATTAGTCAGTACATTAGTCTGGCACCCATTCTACAAATTCCCAGAGGAGAGTTCCACGATGATCGAAAGCTCCAGCGAACACGTACTACAGTATAGGTAAGGACTATCTGTGGTTTAATGGGCCAGAGCGAGACATTAAGAAACAGACTGGCAGTGAACGCGGACGTTAGTCCGAGTGTTGTGTCAAAATAATTTTCTTAAGACCATTAAACCACTTACACATACTATCAATGAAATCGTCACGCGCGCCAATATTTCCTTCATCTAGTATATAAACAATATTGCCCGGACATTATTTGATATAATGACACGTCAATATCAAATGACGTCATCACATCTGTATTTTAATTGTAAATAAAGCCACTTACGTTGCATTGTATGCTGTTGATAAATCTTCTAGCCCTTCGTCATATTTTACATCAAATACTTCATAAACAAACGGTTTAGTATTGTCAATAACATATGGTGTGGTATGACAAAAAGTTGTCACTAATGGTCCTCCATACTCGACTTTATTCAAGGCTCGAACAGTCACATAATATTTACCATCTGTGAAAATAACATTGTAATTAAAATGGGGTTTTAAAATATCCCAGTTTGCTGCACCGATTGCGCTAATGGAGAGAGGCACGCGCCATACAATGTACTAGGAGAGAAACTTTGCCTGGGAAGCGGCAATATAAACGGCCTAATCTTATTTTGAATTTAAACTGCCAAGGGTTCGTTTACGTGCACGGTGATGTGTACACGGAATTTCGCTCATGCACCAAAGTAAAGATTATTCAATACATAATAACTATTCCAATTTACGGTACAACATTTTGCTAGGTCCGCGATTTTTTCTTGACATAAATGAAGTATTCCGCCAGTTTTCCACAATATCAAGATAGTGTGATGTAGTAATGGATAGTATTGGGTAAATCGTCAGGGGCTAATTAATACGCCATCCATTGGGTTATAAAGTAAATTTTGCACGGCCAGTGGCACTAGGGCCTACTCATATCGAATTCTAACTGCCAAGGGGTCTTTTACATGCACGCTAATGTTTACACGGGACCTATTCGTTGTCCCCTGCCAGGTCCCCTGTCCTACATCACAGACCCGCATGTTAGCCATCCAATTATTTATTTATTTTTATTTTAAACAGTTTTATTTAGATTTATCCCCACAAGGGTAGTAATAAGCACCTGTCAGATTTCTCCCAACAAGGGTAATAACAAGCACCTGTTAGATTTATCCCCATAAGGGTAGTAATAAGCACCTGTCAGATTTCTCCCCACAAGGGTAGTAATAAGCACCTGTTAGATTTATCCCCATAAGGGTAGTAATAAGCACCTGTTAGATAATAAAGTTGTTATACTGACCTGATAGTGGGTTAGTCTCCTCCCTCTTGATCATACCAACATGAGTCCATTCTGATTCATCATACAGATGTTTATGTGGATCATGATGGGGGTGTATCGATTCCTCGCACACTGTTTTACCAGCAGTAAACGAATAACCTAATAATCCAGTTTCTTTATCATGGATTCCATCCCAATTTGCTAAAATATAAAAAAAAAGAGGTTAACAAGAAAATAAACGAAATCCATAAATACAAAGGATTTAAAATACCATTATTGGTTCCACAAGTTCTTAGCACATACGTAAATAGTATAACGAATTTCAACTGTCAGGACCTCGGTCCTGCAACACTGACAAGGGGAAATCAAACCTGGAAAATTCCGGGGGAACTTTCTCGACAAACACAGGGATCGAACCCTTTACCACCAGGGCCCTGTTTCTCGAAATCTTAACCAAAGATAAAATCCAAATTTTAGTAGATACTTCAATTTTGATTGGCTAAGCACTAAAATCAATCTAATATTATCCAATCAAATTACTAAAATTTGGATTTTATCTTAGTTAAAATTTCGTGAAACAGACCCCTGGTTAGCAAGCCAGTGCCTTACGCCCCCATTTCCCTCCATGATGTTAAATGGATTCATATTCTAAATTATCTGAGATAGATCTATTTGCTCTGAAATATCTCTTGTCTGAACTTTCTCGACCAACACGGGATCGAACCCCGGACCCCCTGGTTACCGAGCCAGCGCCTTACTCACTGAGTCACAGCGGATTGAATCATATAGATGAGGTTAAATGGGGTCTTACCTGAGATGAATCTATTAGCTCTGAAATATCTTTGGTCTAAAAGTGGTGAATGGCCATTAAAAACTGTCATTGATCCTTCGCCATCAATAATAGTTCTAGAAAAATAATTAAACAAAAAATAACCCAAAATCTGTATTATTTTATTATAGTTACAGACAAATAATTTAAAAAATACATTTGGTTTAAAAAACAAACCTGTAATATTTTAGCGCTGTACTATTTTAGATTTAAAAAAATATAAAATGAAAATGTGTACTATTTTAATATGAAAACTGTTATTTGTTGTCCTAGCCAAGGAAACGCCCACAATCTTAATGAATAATTAACACACGTGTTGGTGTGAAAGGTTATTTATTATTCAAAATGATTTTTTTAAAGACATGTGATGAGAATATGAGCAATATCCAAATTTAAATTACAATTATCCCAATTATTTCCAGGATAAATCGGATTCAAATACAGATCTATATTACTTTTTGTTTTTTATACTTTCGATGGCCTCCACTACATGAAGATCTGACCGGTTGTAGTCGGGGGTCGCGTCAAATGTCGTACGGTCGGCTTTTGACCGTATGACGTCAGACATTGATTAATAAATCAACGTTGACGTTTCTAGTGGTTTACCAACAGTTTCGTGCATCGCGCGCTAAGGTTTCGCCCTCACATCAACCACAACGTGGATTATATAACCAGTCTTTCAGATCCTAGTGTAGTGAAGACAAGTAAAACAAAATTTTAGACTTTGATCAGATTGTTTCAGAATCTTATGTTTTCTGAGTGAGTTGAATGAATAAACCTTGTCATACATCTGTATTACTACAGGTGATGTCGTGAAGTTATTATTATTACAACTATCTACTGTTTGATGTTTACCTATGATTGAGTACCAGTGGTGATTGGTCAATACATTTCACCTTCCATTCTGGACGATCAGAGGGAACTCCATTCAAACAATCCATTTTCTCTAGATCATCTCTAGAACCATTTACAATTAACCCTGCTCCTGAAATATTTAATGTAGAATATCTATAACACATCCTCCCTTGTCCATCACATTTTCCAAGATTTGGATCTCATCGCTACTAATAGCCCCCCCCCCCCATCCCCCCACCCTCCGGCCCCCGGCCCAAAAACCCTCTTAGAACTAATTTGTATCCCACCGCCGATTAATTCGACCCTGTACTGTTTGATAATTATAAATCATATACTGTAAATCAAAACAAAAATATAATTAATTAACACCTGTCTGATATTAATTTACACCTGTCTGATATATAAAATATAATACCTGGTTGTGGAGGTGTTAAATCAATTAAAACACCTTTAGTAGAGATGATATGACGATATCCTAAGATATTCTTTAAATCAAGGTTAAAGTAATACAGTTTATCTTGTAGTAGTGTTTTATCTGTATAACTAAATTCATAGGCTAAACCAACCCCTAATCTCTCCATATGTACATAGTCGCCAGACTGAAATAACAAGGTACAATCATCTTAAATACAATTCCTTTTCATGTTAAATACAATTCCTTTTCATGTTAAATACAATTCCTTTTCATGTTAAATACAATTCCGTTTCATGTTAAATACAATTCCTTTTCATGTTAAATACAATTCCGTTTCATGTTAAATACAATTCCTGTTCATGTAAAATACAATTCCTGTTCATGTTAAATACAATTCCTGTTCATGTTAAATACAATTCCTGTTCATGTTAAATACAATCCCTGTTCATGTAAAATACAATTCCTGTTCATGTTAAATACAATTCCTGTTCATGTTAAATACAATCCCTGTTCATGTTAAATGAGAAACAACTAAACTACCCAAAGCAAGAATTTGGAAAGAGAGAGAGAGAGAGAGAGAGAGAGATAGAGAAAGAGAGAGAGAGAGAGAGAGAGAGATAGAGAAAGAGAGAGAGAGAGTGTTACGTCCACGCGACACAAATTTCGACATTTCTGGACTAACATATAAACATATGGTTCAATTCTAATTCAGTAATTTCGCTTGTGGGTAGAGGTCTTTAACTGTGTAAGAAAACCGGAGGACTCGGAGAAAACCCATGGGGCTGGGGAAGGACATTGAGAGAGAGGGAGAGAGAGAAATGGGGTTTAACGTCCACTTGACACAAACTAGGTCATTTCGGGACTAACATATGGTTTAATTTTATTTACATAATTCGCTTGCGCGTAGGGGTCTTTAGCAGTGGGAGGAAACCGGAGGACCCGGAGAAAACCCACGAGGTTGGACAGGCGACCCTACTCTCTGTCACGTACAACCGGGGATTCGAAACCACGCCAGTCGACTCAATGACAGACTTTATGATACAGTGCGCACACGCTAACCATTCAGCCATCCACCCCCCCCCCCCCTGGACTTTGAGATACAAGTGAAAGAATTAGAATACAGAGTAGAAAGTATATTGTATTTCACCTGAAGGATTTTCTCTATAAAATATAAGATACTTACGATGGCTATTTTATGATCATGACCTTCTATGGCTTCTAGTAATTCACAGTGACCACTCGTACCAAAATCAAAATTAATTGACAGACATTTACTTTCCGGTAAAGCTAAACATCTCTGCATACAATCAGCAACAGTGTTAATCTTTCTAAACTCTCGAGCAACAGGTGCGATTAAACGAGCTTGTTTAGAGGCAGTAAAATGTTTCTTGGCTTCAAAACCATTAGGATCCGATGACGCTACATAAATAAATAAATAAATAAATAATTTTAAATCTAAAACCAAAGGGTAATACATCTTTAATTCACCATCATAGTTTTAAATATATTACCAAGGGGTAATACATCTTTAATTTACCATCATAGGTTTGATTCATAAAACCAAAGGTAATATATCTTTAACTTACGATCATAGTTTTGATTATTTCGGTTTTTAAGATTGACAGGTGTCCAATTTTCCATCTCATCTGAATAAATACCACGACCAACGCCTACACCGATTGCTGAATATTCTAACTCGGAATCTTCGAATACGACAACAGATGCTTTTAAAACTCTCGGGTTACTGGATGTAGCAAAATCTGCCGTGAACCTTCCACCAGGTAATGACGTGTCATAAGTTGGTATAGAACACGTGACTGTAGCACTACCTCCTCCACTGTTTTTACCCACGACTGTGAAATATATGGGTATTCCACTATGAGATAATCTCTGAAATAGACAAGGTAGTAAGTATTTTATAAATTTTTAAAACAAAGCAGCCATGGGAAGAAATCGGAAATCTAATGGGGTAAGCATTCGGTTCAGATCAAATAACTAATGAGACCATGGCTGTATGGCCAAGCATTCGGTTCAGATCAAATAACTAATGAGACCATGGCTGTATGGCCAACTTTGCTACCTCTGCTGCGACCATGGCGGACAGGTGCTGTTTGGCTAATACCTGTGCCGGGACCATGTCGGGCAAGTGCTGTTACCTATGCCCCGATCTTTAAAGGTTTTAATATATGATATAAAAGTCGGACGCTGACTGACAGGAGGGATCTTAACGGATCCGGATGTCCATTCTCGCCCCAACCACCTCTTGGGAAACACGTCAATCAGTACAAAGTAGGTTGGGGGAATTGGTAATAATGAAACATAATTCAACACAGAGGTTCAAAGATGTGTTAATACGCTATTTTATCGAGATTTTTCCAATGGTTTTGATGTAGTTAAGGCGGCTGTGGCGCTAGGCAGGGTAAGCTTACTCTTCCGGACACCTGTTACCACTGTTTGTCGTGTATTTTGTACAATCCATTTGCTGATTACACTATTTTACCGATACCGTTTTTGTCTAATGGTTTGGATTGCTCGTATTTGGTTTTATTTTATATCAACGATGAGAAAACAGTTAAAGAAGAGAAGGTGTGATAGAACGCTGTTCTGTACAAGTCTAAATACAGAATAAATGAAATGGAATCGGGGTTAACATTCTACAATCTTGCCTCAACCGGAATAATTAAGACAATCTGCTATGAAGGAAATTTATCCCGGACAGAGGCGCTACGGTCTATATCGAATTCCAGCTGACAATGGATCTTTTCCGTGCACGCCAATGTGAACACAGGATCTAGTTTTTTCTTCCTATCCGAACGACTATAAATCTAGAAGTCATCTTACCGTAGTTATAACAGAAGAAGGTCCTCCAAGTTCTGTTTCTGGGAAAGCATCTTGTAAACCAGGACGAGTACCACCTTGAAGGAAGAGACGAACTTGACTCTTATCATCTTCACTACGTACAGATAGTTCTATAGCTGGTTCAGTATAATCTCGATCTGGTAATTGTCTCACAGAACATTGTCTAGTAGCTGTATTGATAGCTTCTCCTGCAGCTCGCTTCTTTCGGCCACTCTGAAATAAAAATACATTTATATATCTAAATATACGGTATTTAATAATAGCATACAAGTATTGCGTTCTAATATACGGTATTATATAATACCATACCAATTATACATTCTAATATACGGTATTAATAATAGCATACAAGTTATGCGTTCTAATATACGGTATTATATAATACCATACCAATTATACATTCTAATATACAGTATTAATAATAGCATACAAGTTATGCGTTCTAATATACGGTATTATATAATACCATACCAATTATACATTCTAATATACAGTATTAATAATACCATGCAAATTATACATTCTAATATTATACATTCAGTTTTATTAATTCCAAATTCATAAAATAAAAACAGCTAACCGTTGACGTTAAGCACTACGTCTTAATCCGAAACTGCGCTTGAACTTGACTAAAGATTGCAAGAAGTGTTGCGATACGTTACATTTGACCGGGAAAGGTAAGTTAGAAGATGATTCCGATACAGTTGTTAAGTGTTCGTCTTGACGTAAATGTAATTCTCAAATATTATAATGTCTTTGTCTTAATCATTTATTCTATTTGTTCGAACTTTTTATGTTTAATTTAAAGTCTATTTACGATCCCGTAGTGTGATATTAATTTGCAATTTTATCTGAAAATTATAATATTGAGTTTAATATGGATTCTTAAATAAAACATGGTAAGTTTTCATTTATCCATTTTCTGCCTTTTTTCTTCACTTTAGAAAAAGTCTTAAAATCTCATAGATTAAGTATGTATACTTTGATATTCACACTATTCACTCTTGTTTTTTTATTATAAAAGTTTATTAAAGATTGAATTAATCAACAAGATTTTATAAACTAGTTACCTTGCTGTCCGTATACTCTGAGAAAGCTGGTGGTGAAGGATCGGGCTCATTCTCACCAAAATCAATCAACCGTTTCCGTATAACAGGTGTTGAATATTCCCATAACGTAGCTTTAAATAACGTCTTTTTGATCGTTGCAAAAAATAGTTTAATACGTAATGTAACGATACCTAACAATCTCAATCGTAATGGTACCAGCTCTAGATCCATGGTCAAGCTGAAATAATATAATACATGACATCAACTATAGATACATAGTCATGCTGAAATAATATAACAGGAATAATAAATAGAACCAAATCTAGATCCATAGTGTTATTGATATTAAAGGAGGTTATATAAGATTGGATAAATAGCTGACAGTTCTCGTTATAATAGTTAAAAAAATAGATAAATTAAAGAGAATATGCTGAACATTGCAGTCAAACTACTTCACTAGGAGTCGAGAAACCAGAACTTCAAAAACAATGTAGCCACGATTTTCATTGTTACCGTTGCTACGATAATAAAACAAAGTTTCAATTATCCATTTTTATGGTTAATCACGAACAGCAGATGAATCGCAGATCGGATTCAAATCTGTTTAAAATCGTAACCATCAGATGTCAATTAATGTTTAATTAATAGTTTATATAACATTTAAGGCCTAACGAAAGACATACAACAGGAAGATTTAGCTCTTGCATAATGTATGTTTCATATTGAGATTAGATATTCGATTGTATTTATATTTTATACCAATCAATCTGATTAAAACACAGATCCTATTTCGTTCCGTTTTTTATTGTTCAAAATTTCGTTTTACCTGTCTTCGTCATCTAGTGGATGCCATCAATTTTAAACAGTTTGTTAAACAGACCAACTGTAACATGACAGAAACTAAAAGTGGAAGCCATTGGTGTGTTTTATAATCAGATTGTATACGATCACTAGAAGAATGCCCTGCTTCGCTCGGGGGTCATAACCCCGAAACCGGAAGTGGTAGACTAACGCCACCTGGCCTATGTTACTCCCCGGTCCAAGCTAACCCTATACCCCAAATTTCAGACTCGGGGCAGACCTAGTGTAGCCGACAACCCCGAATAGACAGACAAACAGACAGACAAACGACAGTCACAAATATTAGTATAGATAAAGTTAAACGTTACCCAATATCAAGTGGGAATTTCGAGAATCCTATCTCAGCTCGTGTAGGGAAGGATGTAGTCATTATATAACCTTCTAGTCGTAAACCAGCATATAATATAAAACCTATATTTAATTCCCCGTATGTTAAAACAGCTCCATAGGGTGTGGCACCACCAAATGCTACCATCTTCATCATTTTACCACCGACAATAATCTGCATACCGTAGGTACAACCAGCACCAAATCCTGTAAGAATATCATCATCGTCATCATCATCATCATCATCATCATCATCATCATCGTACAGATTACATCAGTACACAATAAATAAGTTAAGCACAAGATAAAAAAACAACTAAATACATACATTACCCAAAATAATGAATGGGTTTCAATTATTCCATTTGTGTTATTCTTTTAATGTATGATCCTAATGGGTCGCTCTTATTACATATGGACAGCTGCCTAGTCGTTCGGATAGGACGAAAAACCGAGGTCCCGTGTACACATTGGCGTGCACGTAAAAGATCCCTTGGCAGTTGGAATTCGATATAAGAGTAGGCCGTAGCGCCGCTGCCCGGGCAAAAATTCTCTCATAGCACACTGTATGGCGTATGCCCGTCTTCAATTAGCCCAGGTTAGGTGCAGAAGAGTAGGACGTTAAACCCCATTTCATTTCATTTTATTACATATGATTTCAGTAACTTTTCATTGAGTCAACTGGCATGGTCTCGGTGTCCCGGTTGTACGTGACAAGAAGTAAGGTCGCCTGTCCAACCTCGGTTTTATCCGGACCCTACGGTTTCCTCTCACTGCTAAAGACCCCTACGCGGAAGGTTTTGAGGTGGCTACGATATATCACAGACAATCAATAACTTATGAACTGGGTAAAAATGCCCAACACAAACGTATAAGAAAGCTTAACAGGAGTTATTCAAAAATATACTGGTTACTTACTGAAGTTCATTGGTACCAAACCTCCCAGTAGGAAGAAAATAGAGTACTTGAATAAAATGACTTCACTGCGAGGGAAACTAAAGTCGCCTTGAAGTATAAAATCCATGGATTTAAAAGCATTTGTAGCCTCTCCAGTTAAAACTGCATCAATAATTTCCGAATACTGCAAATACAAAACAACAAAACATAAATTAATAATTTCAGAAAACTGCAAATACAAAACAACAAAACATGTTTGTCTCATTCTAGGAAAGCATTGCTATTGGTCCTGTGTTATTAGCACTGCTTTCCCACATCTTCAATGGAAGGCGTGATCTCTCTTCAACTCCGTACATCTTATCAAGCCTTTCACGTAATACCCTGCATATTTCGATTGGCTACTGACCCAGTTGTGGAGCCATTCAGATTCCTCGATCGAGCCCCGAGTTACAAAGCTCAAGGTAGATTCAGTATCAAGGCTCCGTGGAGGTCGTCATGTTTGGGTGTGTTTGTGTCACAACCTTTGATTAGACAGATAACGTAGCTATAAGTTCGGGAATTGCAGACTAGTCTAGGAACGTCCAGATGTTGTAAAACTCGCAGTCGTTGCTTCGGGAACATGTGTTTCCCCGGGAGCCGGACAATAATATTACTTACCAAAGCCAAACCTAAGTTTCGCAATTCTTTAACAAGTTCCAGGGCCTTTTCTGGGTCAATATTCTTCGTATCAATCATCGCCATGATTTCTCCGATGGTCATATTAGACAACTTGGCACCTAGCAACTTGACTCCAGCACCAGTCAAACCTTTACCCACAACAAAGGCTTGTTCAGCATTCTCAATTATATTTGATGCTACTCCTAAAATCTTAAACATTTCTTCACCTGAAACAGTACGAATTATAAACATGGGTGCAATGTATATAACAACCGCTTCCATATGAAATGAGTTTAATGCACTACTGTTCTTGGGCCTGTTTCACGAAATTTTAACTAAGATAAAATCCAAATTTTAGTAATTTGATTGGATAATATTAGATTGATTTTAATGCTTAGCCAATCAAAATTAAAGTATCAACTACAATTTGGATTTTATCTTTAGTTAAGTTTTCGAGAAACCGGGCCCAGCTCTAATTGGACTAACGAAGACGGGCACATGCTATCAGGGCCATTTTGCTCGTATAGCGGCACAATCACGGACTACTCTTATTTCGAATTATAACTGTCAAGGGTTCTTTCCAACTTGTTCACAGGACCTCGGTTAGATTTTGAAGACGGATCATATTGTCGAGAGTCCAGTTCTTGAACCGAGCAAATTACCAACCCCGAAGCTCTGATCTAAGAAACGTTAAACGAAACAAATTGGATTGTCTCTCGGTTTTAATCATTTCACAAGAGATCTTGGTAGACTAATATAAACAATTGACGCAATCATTATCGTGTATAACCATCAATAATAATGTCCTTGTCAGTGCCTCAAGAAGTAGTTATACATGCGCTGGGAGCCACGGTGGCTAACTGTGTAAGACGCTGGCTCGAAAAATCGAGGTCCTGTGTATACATTGGCGTGTACGTAAAAGATCCTTTGTCAGTTACAATTCGATAAAGTTTATAGTGCCGTTGCCCGGGCATAATTTCGCACATAGCACACTGTATGGCGTATGCCCGTCTTCATTAGGCGAGTCGAAACAGAACATTAGGACGTTAAATCCTATTTAATTTCATTTCATTTTATTTATAGGCTAGCTTGAAAATGATAAGAGAACACCTCATGTACAAGCCAGGGATTGTTTTCCATATCATTTTGGGTTGCGTTTTAAGTAATTATTTGAACAATAATATAATACTATAATATAATACTTACTGCCTTCTACACCGACACTGACTTTACCATTATTTGATGTATATAATATAGTGGAAGGATTCGATGAGCCCATTGTTTTTAAAGCTGATCTGATATTATTAGCTTGACCACCATCTTCCCAATCTGGGAATAAATTCTTCTCTACTTCTGTAGCCTGTAAACAGACGTCGACATATTTAACATACCCCATATACCTGTTGAAATGTGAATAAACACCTACTGGGCTATGAGGACAATATTGCCCTGGCAACGGTACTACGGCCTTCTCTGATTTTGAAGTCCAACTGTCAAGGATTAGTTTACTAGCATGTCAATGTGTTAACGGGACCTCGAGTTTTCGTCCCATCCTAACAACTAGACAATGTTCCTTGTCAGGTTCTCTGTCCGCATCACTGACATGGGGAAAACAATGTCGGAGTATTCCGTGGAAGTTCCTCGGCTAATACTGAGATCTCCTTGTTCGCGAACCATCGCCCTACTCAATGAGACACCGCGGTCCCTGTTAAAAATGTGAATACGTTATATAAGAAAACAGTATTATGTACTTTATATTTTCCATACTATAAGTAGGGTCCGGGAACTAAGTAAACTATTATATAGTGTTGGTCAAAGACTGAGGTATCCCCAATTCACTTTAATATATAATTCAGTAAACCTCAAGTAATCCGCCGGACACAATCATATAGGGTCTACCATATAAATTAAGAATAAAAAAAACCCCGACAACTAAAGATATACATCCGATCTTACCTCATTTGTTTCAACTTCATTCATAAAGGCTGCAATTTCTTCATTTGTAGCATTTCGCCCGAGCAGCGTCTTTATACCAACTTCATAATCATTTTGGGATATTCTGTAAATAAAAATTACGAAATGGATTTTTAAAAAATTATTTCTAAATACCACCTGAAAAGATTTGTTCCAAACGAAACGTAAATGATGATGGATGTCTAGATTCTTTTTAAAAAATGGTCACTCACTCTCTTATTACACTTCGTCTTTTTCTGCCGCTAGTACATCCGGGTTTATTGAATGATTTTCTGTCCAAGAGGGTCCAATATTTACAGTAGGGTATATTCTGGTACGTATTTAGAGCACACAGCCTGATGTTTAATGTTACCACATAAGCACTGCTAACATCACTAACTATATAGCTTATATCTATAGCTTCACCAACAGCTTCTGTTATATTTGTATCTACAAGAGAACGGGTCAGATTTATATATAAGTAGTAAAAAGGGCACATCTCACCAGTATAAGTAGTAAGAGAGACCTTCAATACCATTTTTGTTTTAATTTTCGGGTGTCAAATTATCACTTTTTATTCAATTATTCAATAACTGTAAAAATGGAATAACACACACGGACGTTTTTTCCAGATGCACTTAAAGTTTTAAAATTTATAAAACTTTAAAACAATTCAGGTCACACCAATTTTAGAATTTTGCTTGTTATTTCTTCAGGAAACACATTAATTTAAAAACCAAAAGTAATTGGTTTAAAACTTTTAGTTCCATTTTTTTAGTTTGAAATGTTACGTGATGTACGTGGGTATTAATTTATCAAGGCCCCAAAGAACTGAGAATTATTAAATTATTGGTTTGGCCTAAAACACGAAAATGTATTAAATACTTTATAGGGAGTTTGTTAACGTTTCCTAGTGATCCAGTCTACCTACCCAATGGCAAGGAAAGAAGAGTTTTCTCCCATTTCTTGTTCTCTAGTGTATAAGTTAATTTATTAGCACAGTGATCCAGTTCAAACGAAGCTGCTAGAGAGTAGGAACCCAAATATTTAAGGTCAAGGGTCATACAACAGCTGATACCAAGACAGTTATCATTGAGATGACAGATATTAGATATTGGTGCTGGTAAACTGATGGAACAGCCTGGAAAAAAAAAGATGGATAAGATTATATTTTCACAAATAACAGACCTTCTAAATAGGTGTAGTAGTAGGAAAGAGCATAACGTCCGCTTCCAGCTGGGGTGATATCCCAGACAATACTGGGGTGATATCCCAGACAATATTAGGACCCGACTGTATAAGCTTTATATGGCCCCCGGATCCATTCACTTGATTTGATATGCGTTAATTATTATTATTTAAAATGTCTGTGTATATTCACAGGAATCTGACCTTTCATCCGTATATATATTATATGCATACACCGACAATAATAATAAAAAGAACAGGAATGCAATGCCTGTTGAGGCCTCGATTTTACCTGCTCTTGCTTCGAGTCGTTTTTATTCAAGCAATCATACCTCCGTGGATTCACTCAGATATGTTTTTTTCTTCAATCTAGCTGTTTTGATGTTTTTTATTTAAAACGTATATTGTGTCCGGTCTGTGGGTTTGTCTAGTGTAATTGTTTATTTGTGGTGCGGTCCTAAAATCCAATATGGCCCACATTTACTGGTATGACAGAACATTGATTTAATATCCAACATGGTGGAGACTGGGTCCGTCCTTCCAGTGAGTCTATTTATAAAAATCGACCAATTTGGTGAATTATTCTCACGTCTGTGAAACTGTCTCATTTTTAGAGGTATTAAAAATATAAAAGATAAATTAAACCAACCTGACGGAGGGGCAGTTAATGTACACGATTTCAAAGACCAGAAATCGAAACTCACGCCTGAAATTAGAAAATTATCATAAATTTATTTCCAGTGGAAAATGTAATTGCAAAAGTGGAAATTTCAGAGATAACGTAAAACGTATTGGCATATACACCAACTTAAAGGTTCGAGGATAAAAGCATTGAGTCAAGGACAGCAAATCTATAGAGCTCACGAGCTATAAAAACCAGAAAACTTTCTCGACAAATACCAGGATCGAACCGCAGACCACCTGGTTAGCAATTCAGCGTCTTACTCATTGAATCATCGCGGCTCCTTCGTTTATATAAAGACCATTGACAAGTATATCAATTACATAGGCGATACCTGTAGATCCTACAGGTGAGTAGGATAAACAGGTATATCCCCATGAGCTCACCTTTAAATGGAACAGGTTTAGTTATATCACATGGCGAGTAAGATATACTGGCTTGTTGCAATACAGGTACATCTAATATACAGGTGGAATCTTCAAAGCACACCTTTATACTTAAATCAGCTATGATCGTATTTTCACTGGGATTATTCTCCAATTTATACCTGGAATACACATTAAAAATATTTAAACATACATTATGTAAGATTTAGATAAAGAGCTGGTCGTTCTTGCTACAATAGTTCAAAAATAGATAATGAAAACTGAATATATTGAAAAGTTCATTCAAATTACTTTATTCTGAGTAAAGTTATGAGTGGTTAAAGCCTTGACAAGATGTAGCGTAGATTGTCTATTATGGAAAATACGGTCTAGATTATCTCCCGGGTGTTCTAATCCATTTAAATCTCGGCCATCAGATAGTTTAAAAAGTTGAATATAGGCTTGTGGTGTGAATAAATGTCTAGATAATAATTTATTTATTTACTTAACATTTGAAGGCAAAAAAGGCCTGCATTAGACATCTTTAAAGTACGATCATTGACAGTATTAACATACCCCCGATCATCGACAGTTATTAACATTACAATTTAAATATTTTAAACAAAATACATTAAAAGATGTCATCGATACAATTTATATACAAGGAATGAAAAAGAGCCCTCGTTATTTCGATTAATAAAGTAGTTCGAGTTATGTATTTTTTAACTTACTCAAGTCGTAGTCTACCCTTTAGATGAAAAATACCAGATGAACCTACAGAAAGAAAATAAACATAAATTACCGAGAAGCTGATTTATAAAAACAAATTGAGTTAGGAAAGTGATTTATAAAATGATATTTGCGTTGGGAAACTGATTTATAAAATTCTAATTGAGCTAGGGAAGTGATTTGAGTTGGGAAAGTTATTTATAAAATTCTATTTGAGCGGGGAAGTCTATGTATAAAATATTATGCGTTAAACCACATTTCAGTTTATTTACAAATATTTTCAATTTTTGGTATAGCGCGTTTTAGGATAAAAATCATCAAAAGCGCTTTACAAGCAATGTAAACACAGAGAATGTCTGGGGAGGAGAATTTAAAATTGATCAAACAGTATTGTTTTTAATTTGATTTTATAAACATCTTCACTGTCTGTCTGTTTGATGATGTTTCGTTGTCTACATTTCAAATGAAAATGAAATGAAATGGGGTTTAACGCCCTACTGCTCTGCCCCGACTGGGCCGTACGTCATACAGACGAGCATACGTCATACAGTGTGGTATGAGATAACTTTGCCTGGTCAGCGGCGCTACGACCTACTCTTATATCGAAGGGGATATTTTACGTGCACGCCAATGTGTTCACGCGACCTCTAAGCTAGCGAGCCAGCATCTTACTCACTTAGCCACCGTGGCTCCCATGTCTAAAAGCTCCGGGTAACAAATACAATATTTTAATATTTACTCACCCCAATTATAATCAAATAAGGAAATGGTATACGTCATTTTCTCAACGGTGAAGGTCATTTGAAGGTTACAGATATCTATATTAAGACGGAGATTAACCGATCGTTTGATGATACCAACATAAAGACAACAATCTATAGTTGAACAATCAGTTGACCAATAACATCTGGTTGTATCTGGTAACGTAGGTAGGTTGATGGTAGAAGGACAATCTGAATAACAACAATAAATATACCATATCTTATAGTTATTTTCTTTTTTCCCTTTCACGTATTTCACCGAATATAACTGATTAGAAATCTCAATAATGTTTTTTAAAAATGGAATATAAGTCACTATGTACACATTCATATTACATGAATAGTTTCGTCTAGTTTATGGTTCCAAATAGTATCACCATACGTCCTTGTAAATACCCCATATTTTGTTTCTCCAGATCACCTGAAACTGTTTTATTATCATGTTATGAAAATCAATTGGGGTACTATCAAAATACCCAGAGCAGCTCTAATTCTGCTATTTTAAAAGACACCCGAAAACGTATTAAACTTAAATATTCTAAGAATAACGATGGTTAATTGGCTAAGCACATTAACCATTGTACAAATTTTAATTCTTGACCAATGAAAAGGCTGCATTATTAAAATATTTCAGTTAAAGTTTAGAATGTCTAACAATGTGTAAAATCTACCATGTAATAAAACAACTTATCTCACCTTTCTTCCAGTTTTTACCATTAGCTGGTATATAAGGTGAAGCTTCTCTATTACAACCAGGTTCAGTGAGATATCCTGATAAATCTACTTCTTCTAATAATTTATCTATCAACACATCAGTTAAAGACGAGATACTTGGTAATTGCTCTTTCAGTTTCCAATCTGCCAACGAAAATCCTGTAAAAAAAAATTAATAAATTTGTACAAAAAATAATATATTAGTACAAAAAAAAAAAAAAAATGATAATAAATTAGTACAAAACATTTGATACAAAAATAATAAATTAGTAGTACTATACATATACTGTGCATTGATTTTGTAAAACAAAAAAAAAGAAAAGAAAAAATCTTAACAATATCAACAATCCACCCCCAAATCGGACTGGAAAACAGAGTCAGATTAAACATAAATACTGCCAGAACTGGGCTTAAACACATAAATACCGTGATTAAACTAGATCAAAGTACTTACATTCCAATTTCATTGTACTTTAATTAGGAAAGATTGTAATTTATATTTGAGGAAAGATTGTAATATAATTTATATTTGAGGAAAGATTGTAATATAATTTATATTTAATGTAAGATTGTAATATAATTTATATTATTAATGGTACTTACGGTTCTCCAGTAACGATTGTTGAAAGTTACATAATGGTTGTGGAATCTGTTTCTTGTCTATAACTGATTTATCATATAGACATTTATCTTTATCTATACATACACTGATATTAACACTCATCTCTATTGCTTTCTCTCCTAGTAATCGGCTCAATATAAAACTATAAATACAAATATAATCATCTATCAATTTTAATATAACCCTATCAATTTTAATATAACCATTTAAAGTTTATTTATTAGGTATTTACATGAAAACAATCTACACACCAACGTATATTATTTGATTTGAGATATTTAGTACAATCGAATAGAATCTTTAGAATGGTACAACATAACTAATTCGAAAAAGGTGGCATAGCAAATGATAATCGTCTCTGCCCCCCCCCCCCCTCACTTTTTAAGCTTATTTGTAAAGGGTTAATCTAACTGTGTGCTGCCCAATGGCACGTAAACTTGATTATGTTTGATAATTATAATATTAAATATATCACATATTGTACTAGTACTTACTCTACTCGGACAACTCCCTTTAAATAGAAATGGTCTACTTCACCTGCAATACAAAATAAACGATAAACACCTAGTACCATCTCTCCCTAATTGTTACTAATAACAACAGGGAAGTAAACTAGAGAACAGTACCTGCATTCCATATTCCATAGAATTGTGACGTAATAGGCGCTAAACCTATTTTTTTAGACCAAAATAAAGTATTGAACTATTATTTAATTAGTGATGTGATCAGTTTTAAAGGATTAACAGGTGATAAAGGATGACAGATTAAAGGATTAACAGGTGATAAAGGATGACAGATTACAGGTGTATTATATAAGAGCTAAATCTGCATATTCCAGATATTTTTTTTGGCTTCAAATGCTATATAAAGTATCATTTATTCACACGACAATACCAATAATCAACTCTCTAGTCCATCGGGTGGTCGAGATTTAAATGGATTAGAACATTTACAAGTTTAACGGTAAAATGGATAATTGAGATTTAGTCACGTGTGTCCAGTATCATTGCTACGAAAATAAACATATATGCTACATCTTCCAACACTCAAAACTTTGCTCGTGCAGAATAAAGTAATTGGAATGATATTTTCAGTATATTCATTTTTCATTATCTATTTTGTACTAGTATAGCAAGAACGACCAACATCGTTATCTAACTCTTACATAATACATGTTTAATTGTTTTAATTCTGAAAACCTACCCCATTGGTAATTAAATAGTTTTCTCTTATAGGAGAGATTCTCAATGGTGGCCGTGATAGTATAATCACACAGATTCACATCCACACCAAAATAGAAAGATCTATCGAGGAAACCAACATCAACACAGCAATCTATAGATGTACAGCGTGATCCCATGTGACAGGTCAAGGCATCGGGTAGATCGGGTAAGTAAGGAATCACTTTAGGTGAAGGACATTCTGAAAATCAAAATTACACGATATATAAATTTATCGAATTACAAGATATAAGAATTTTTATCAAATTATAACATATAAAAATTTCACAAATTATAACATATAGGAATTTATCAAATTATAACATATAGGACTTTATCAAATTATAACATATAGGACTTTATCAAATTATAACATATAGGACTTTATCAAATTATAACATATAGGACTTTATCAAATTATAACATATAAGACTTTATCAAATTATAACATATATAACATATAGGACTTTATCAAATTATAACATATAGGACTTTATCAAATTATAACATATAGGACTTTATCAAATTATAACATATAGGACTTTATCAAATTATAACATATAGGACTTTATCAAATTATAACATATAGGACTTTATCAAATTATAACATACATGATTTTTTTGTATCAAATTATAACATATAGGATTTATTTTTATCAAATTATAACATAGAGAATTTTTTTTTGTATCAAATTATAACATATATTAATCTATCAAATTATAACATATATTAATCTATCAAATTATAACATATATTAATCTATCAAATTATAACATATATTAATCTATCAAATTATAACATATATTAATCTATCAAATTATAACATATATTAATCTATCAAATTATAACATATATTAATCTATCAAATTATTAGATATATGAATTGATCAAATTTTAAAATTACTCTCAATTTTTGCTACCACTTGACTTTTTGAAATACCTTTAATGTGTTAAATACAACTTTGTGTAAAGCCAATTAAGGTAGTGAATACGTATAATAATATTAAACAGTTTAAATTTTACCGTTTGTCCATCCTTTCACATCAGCAGAAGCAAATTGATCTTTGGTTCTATCACACGGTGTAGTTCGAAGATATCCTGCTATTCCTAGTTCTTCATATAACTTAGCTGTGAGAGTGGATGTTAGTTTCTGTAGACCGGCTTGTTTCTGTTCTTCTAGCCAGTTGGTTATAGAAAAATCTGAAGAGAAGAGAAGATATATATATATACACAGAAACAATCCATGTAGAACATTCATACATTTAATCTCAACAACAATTATAGAAAAATTAATAGATATTACAGACATGTCAATTAAAACATAAATAGAAAATATACGACAAAAAAATATCTTCAGGGTAAATACTTCATAACAAAACATCTGTTTTATGGGGTTGGCTTTTAGCACTGATTAACACCCAATACATTCGGAAATATACCTTTTGTAGTGTTATTGGGGGGGGGGGGGGCGTGGTGGATCAGTGGGTATGACGTTGGCTCGCTAGCCAGAAGGTCTCTGATTGGCTCCTGGATCCTCCGGCTTTTCCCCACTGCTAAAGACCCCTATGTACAGGCGAATTATTGAAAAAAAATTGAACCACACGTTAAGTCCCATCTCTCCCCTCCCCCTCTCCCTCCCTCTCTCCCTCCCTCTCTCCCTCTCTCTCTCTCTTACCTTGTAATGCCAGTGTACTGTCCCAATCACAGATTAATTTTGGTATTCTTGCATTTGTTAGAACAGGAATAGAAATCAGACATGGTTTATTGGCTTCTAAACAAACACTTATATTTAAGTTTACCAAAAATTTCTTCTCAGAACTCAGATCATCAATTACAAACCTGAAAAAATAATCATTGGTCAATAATCATTGGTCAATAATCATTGGTTAATAAGTTTACAGGAAAATATGTTTGTTATGTTGGCTATATCATTCCATGGTGTCATATAAAGTTGGCAATACTAATTAGTATACCACATTAAACATTCATTGCTTTAAAGGGTGCATGGCTCTTTTCTTTGCAACTTTAAAATATACGAAAATTATTCTAAACAACACATTGATGTAATATGAATGCATATAAAGTGATTTATATTTAGTTTTTTTAAAATAAATTATTGTCATTTCTAATCAATTATGTTCCGTCGACATACGTGAACAGTTCAAATTGAACGACAATCGTTTATGCCTGCTTAGTAAATTCTACGTATTTTTTTAAAAATTATTTTGCCGTTTGTGAATCAGTCATTAATTCGGTATTGTCTTCTAGAGTATGTTTTTTTTTTTTCGTTCATTCATTAGAAATGGCGTCAGAAACCATTGAGTTAGAGGTTTAGCCCTTTTAATAGAAAGATAGGAATAATTAAAACATCGTATATTAGATAGGATCTATATACTTACTCGACCCGAACTAATTTCTTTAATGTAAAATGTTCAAGTGTTCCTGAAAGTACATATATATACGTATAACAATAATCACAATATATATATATATATGTTGTGTAGTAAAGTCATACTAAACTTAGGCTGTCTGTCTACAATTAGCTCCGCTTGGGAACAGACACTAAGCTAGTTGACCGACATTTTAATTCCCAAATCGATGATTGTACGTAGTCGAAAGCATTAAGTACACTTCAAGAATTATGAGAAGAATTTATTCCACTTCCATTTAAAAAAATTGAAATTCTGATTGTATGAAAAGTGATTGTATTACTTACCCCACTGGTAATTAATCAAGTTTCTGTTAAACTGATATTTCTCAATTCCAACCCGGAAGGTAAAATCACAAGGATTAAGGAAGATGAGGGCTTCAAATGATCGTTTGAGAGGTCCTACATTTACACAACATTGTACACCACCACATGTATCTGGTATATAACACGTTAGATCTGAAGGTAGGCTTGGTAGATTACTTACAGCTGGACAGGCTGAAAAATACAATAATAATACTCAACACAAACTACTTTATTTTGGGACTAACATATGGTACGGGTGTTTAACTGTTGGAGGACCCAGAAGGACCCAGAAAAAAAATGGGGTTAGTCAGGCGGTCCTGACTCAGTAGTAGATCTTATGATGGGTGTCAGGTAGACGACAGGGTATGACTCCACAGTACAATATCAATATCAAGGTGCTCACTCAAAGGGATCTCCCTTACATTGGGTTTCCTAACTTGTTGTGTATGAACCGTTACGGTGTTTTGTAATTTGTTAGTGCAACCGATGTATGGTTCGGCAAATCCATAAAATATTCCCAGACTTAAGTTAAGAATTTACTCAACTTTCAATCACCGTTTTTGAGAAATATCTTTGATCAAGAAACACAAAACGTTGCACACAGTTTCTTATAAAGGGCTATTATTTAGTTCAAATAAGGTGAAAGATTTTGAGTAATTTCTTAACTTAAACATGCATTATGCAAGAGCTAAATCTGTCTATTGCAGGTCTTTCTTTAGGCCTGAAATGTTATCTAAATTATTAATTAGACATTAATTAACTTATCCAGACCATAATCAACTCTAGATGGCATCGCTAGCCTGCGATCTTAAGTGGATTGTGAGCCGATTTAGTGCATAACTTTCCTTCTCGATTAAACGATTAAATGGAAAATCGAGACTATGCTGTTTATCGTACTGACTTTAGTAATGATGACCGAGGCTAGGCAGAAATTTCGTCCGCTTAGTTCTCGGTTCATAGTAGATCAATTTAAATGAAATTTTCAGCAAATTGCCTTTACATTATCTAGTTTTTAATTATTATAGTGAGAACTGCCAACTCGTTATCGAATCTCCCATAATATATCTTTAAGTCTCGGGGCCAGTTCATACACTCATTGAGAAAACATCCTCCACTGACCATTTGTCCATCCACCAACAGCACCAGAGTAAACACCAGTATTTCCATCACATTGTGGGTCATTAAGATAAGCAGCTATACCAAGTTCTTCATATAACTTAGATAAAACAATAGATGATAGCTGATCTCCAATTTGCTGTCCTTTCTCAGCCAACCACGTCTCCAGAGAGAAATCTAAAATAATCAAAATACATCTAATTAATCTGATTATCAAAAATAAAACTCAAATCATTCAGTAATTAACCTTTATGTAATGGCGGACGAAAGATATTTGGTTATATGGACCTGGTGGTGTGAAGCTCCCCTCCCTCCATCACCCTAATTGACGAAAGGGCCATAGTGTTTTTCATTGCAGTAATTAATCACCAAATTATGTTATAAATACTCTTGCATACATGATAACAAACTCAAATCATTCAGCAATTAAACTTTATGTAATGGCGGATGGAAGATATTTGGTTATGTGGACCTGGTGGTGTGAAGCTACCCTCACTGCTTCAACCCAATCGACGAAAGGGCCATAGTGTTTTTGATTGCAGTAATTAATCACCAAATTATTTTATAAATACCCTCGCATTGCATACATGAAAACAACGGGTGCTAACCCAGTATATATTCGGTTGATCATTCGGATAATCGAATTATGGATAAAGAACCTTTTTAGTCCATTCACCCATGAACCCGTGGCTGTAGTTAAGTCTTAAAGATCCCCACATCTAGATATCGTGAAAGGTTGTTTAAAATCTATGAACATGTGGCTGTACCTAGTCTTAAAGATCCCCACATCTAGATGAAAGATTATAAAAAACACTTGTTTAAACTATATTTATCAATACCTTTAATACTGTAGTCACTTTCCCAATCACACAATACTTTAGGAACTTTGGCGTTTTCTAGAACTGGTATCACTAAACATGGTGAGTTGGAATCAAAACAGAATGTAGATGATAAACTGATCATATATTGTTTGGCACCATCTAAATTATCAATAACAAACCTGGGGAATAACAATAACAATTTCAACATTTGATTAATTCAACTATTTTGAAAAATAAATATTGAAATAAAATGGTATTAAATATCCTACTGCTCTATCTCAACCGAGCTAATGGAGGCATACTTAGGAGTTGCCGTTAACTCTTCATTGTGTTCCAGCTGTCAAAGATTCTTTTACGAGCACGCCAACGTGTACTGAGGACTTCCACTACTACTGACAACCACGCTGGAAGATCTAGGGAAACTTTCTCGATCAACATTAACGATTAAGAAAGCCGAAATGATTAAAATGTGTAAATATCAGCTAGACATCAGCTATATCTGAACAGAATCTATATTCGTCTTTAGAGTCCAAGTTTAAATTAAACAACTTACTCTATACCAACTACACCATTTATATTGAATTGTTCTCTTGTACCTGAAAGTAATACATTGTTTTAATATAACATTTAACAAATATATGTTCTAGAGCACTATAAACGTTTTGTTAAATACTATGTAAAAACAATAAATGATTTATTTTCATTATGATATAAAACCATCAATCAGTGTCGCATTAACTACAGGCTAGTGTCCCAAGATCCGGGCTGGGGGAGGGGGGGGGGTCCAGCCAAGGCGTATAATAGTTTTTACAACGTGAAATGGCTTTCTTACACTCACTAATCTTAAAAATCCGTCATCATCCTCGGTTTTCCTCTCAATTGCATGCTACTATAGTAGTGAGGGTCGGGGAACTGGTATGGGCTATATACACGAAATAGCTAGGGCTTCTCCTAATCTAAATCCGACAGAGCTATCAATTCTTTATATTTAATAAAACTTACCCCATTGATAATTGAGTAGAGTTTTCTTGTAAACCAAATTCTCGATGGATACAGTTAGAGTGTAATCACAAGCGTTAAGGTAGACCTTGACATTGAATGAATGTCCTATGACAGGAACGGATACACAACAGTCAATTCCCGTACAGAAATCTGGTATACGGCATGTCACATAATCTGGTAGTTTACCAAAATTCAATGTTGTAACAGGACAATCTGCATTAAAAATAAAAGACTAAAAATACAAGGCTACAATATTAAACCATAAAGAGACTATTTGTGATTTGATGTTGGATGGCCCAGCCTCATACTCTGGCTGGTCAGTCATCTCTGGCTTAAAGTCGTGGTTTCGACCCCTGATGTGATGGTATGTGGGTTTACTTCAGGTACTCTGGACACTTAACCACTGAGACTATATTGTGAAACCTTTAAACACTATCCATAGAACTGTGTTGTGTTATATTATTTTAAAGTAATAGCTAAATTGCTATTCTGATAACTTAGCTCAGAATTAGGTAATTTGACTGAAATTGTCAATATATTCATTATTCATTATTTATTTGTAAACTATTGCAACAAGAATGGTCAGCTCCTACCTAAATCTTACATAATGCTTCTTAAAGCTTACATTTGCTTCTCTGGTTTCTGCGGATTTTGTCGTCTAATATTCCAAATACTTAAAGCGTATTTTTGTTTGTCTGGTTTTTGTGTTTTTGTTGTGTATTGTTGTCTTCCTGCATTGATCAATATAAATACATAAAGCCTGTGTCTGCTTGTCGGTTGGCGCAATATAGCCTGGTTGGAACTGCCGTGGCATACAACTCCATTTCATTAATTCATTTGCTTAACCTGTCTTCGTGGATATTCTTGTTTTGTGTTTTATTTATGTATTAGTAAAGAAGTGTAAACTTACCATATTTCCACCCATTAACATTAGCTGGAGAATAAACACTACTACTTCGATCACACTGTGGTTTTAATAGATATCGTGATATACCCAGGGCTTCAAATAATTTAGATAAAGTTAAATCCGACAGTTTGTCACCTATATTAGCATACTGTTCTTCTAAAAATTTAGTTAAATTGAATCCTGAAAGATAAAAACTTAGTAAAGAAAAGAATCGCAACAAACACAAATTAATAACACAATAAAAGTAATCCATTAAATTTAATTAGCCCAGTCCGCTGCCGAAAATTAGGACGTTAAACACCATTTCATTTCCATTTCTCGGGTTTCCCTTTGTCAGTGGTGTCTATTCGTTCTCAGAGGTCTCGTGTACACAATGGCGTGCATGTAAAAGATCTATTGACAGTTGGGATTCGAAATAAGAGTAGCCCATAGTGCCGCTGTCTGGACCAAATGTCCCTCCTACCTGTGAACACCGATTGGGCTAATGGTGTTTAACGGCCTACTTTTCAGCAGCAAACTGGGCTCATCACGACGGCCATACCCCATACAAGGTGATATGACGAACATTTTGTTCCGACACAACAATTGAATTCAAACTTCCAGGGGTTCATTAACGTGCACGGGACCACGGGACTGATAATTATAGCCCTACAGATTCAACTGCTGGGGATCATTTACGTGTACGTGACCACGGAACTAGATAATTGAAGCTCTACAGATTCAACTATAAACAAATACTTATATTACCTTTAAGTGCCATTGTTGCATTCCAATCACAGAATAGTTTAGGTATTCGAGCATTATTCATGAGATTAAATGTTGATTGACATGGTTTATCAGAACTCAGACATACACTCATGTTCATACTCAATAAAAACTGTTTTTCTCCTACTAGATTATCTATTGTATAGCTAGAATAAACAAGATATAGACATTACAGTCTGGACATACACGTCTATCTGTTGTATAGACATTACATTACATTACAGTCTGGACATACACGTATATCTACTGTATAGCTAGAATATACAAGATATATATATACACATAACAGTCTAGACATACACGTCTACCTGGAAACTCCAGAACAATGGCTGCTATGGTTAAAACAGGTACAACCAATTAATATTATGAAACTATTCTTACATTTTCAGTACAAATTTCTTATATTGTTAGTGAGACAGGATTTTTTTTTATAAAATATTCTTGCATAAATATTTGATTATTTAATTAAGAAAACAAAATCAAAATACCAACGCTAGACAACGCCCTGGCTTGGATTCAGTCCGATTCAAAATAGGCAGGCTTATTACATTGCGAACAGCAAAGATCGATGAAATTTCAATTCAACATATCTTTGTATATTCTGAATGGAATTGAATCATTATTGGAATGATTTTCCTATTAGAGGTTCACCTTTCACAATATTGTAGTTTGCAAATCAAATGGTTTCGATAGCGCTAAAAGAATGCAATTAGACTATAAGAAATTGCTGATTACTCTTGTCCATCATAATTGTTGATGAATTGTTAGTGTAGATTTTTTTTAGAAGTTTAATTTAAATTATCGGGAGAAGACTTGTATTACATGTAATATACATCTAATATAAATTACTTACTCGATTCTTATAACACCACGTAAATTGAAATGAGCTGGTTTACCTGCAACGGAAAATAGTGAATGATTATATTTACCATAATAACTTGAAGACAAAATATAGATCTGCACTAAACAGATTTAGCTGTTACATTAAGTCCCCCTGGACTTACTAATAACATATATTTAAACATAAATACAGACTTTCAGTCAATACACAATACAAACTATTCTTACAAACATACTTGTCTTTAAAATATTTAAATTCATGGACTTCGAGCTTCATGTGCTCTTTGGTGTCTTGGCCGAGAAAGTCCTATACAATTTTCCGGCATGGTTCCCCCTTGTCAGTTGTGCAGGACAGAGGGCATGGCAAGGGGCAACGTATAGTCGCTCGGATGAGACGATAAACTGGGGTCTTTATTTGGATCGGTGTAATAAAGCTACTTACCCCATTCATAATTAACCAATGATTTTTTAAACTTGACATCTTCAATACCAATAGTTAATACATATGTACACATGTTGATACTGGCTAAAGCATTAAATGATCGACGTAGGAATGGTACCTCGAGACAACAGTTAATACCAGTACAATAATCGGGTACATTACAGAATATCTTAGATGGTAACGTTGGTAGATTCAGGGCCAGTGGGCATTCTAAAAAATAACATTTAAATATGTAACATATCTATACAATAACGTTAGCTGTTTATTGTTTAACATTGTGTGTCTTGTCCATGGGTTTGTCTTGTGTAATTGTTCATGTGTGGTGCAGTCGTCCCGTACTTTAACATGTATATACGAACTAAATATGCAACACATGATTCTTCACCCGAATTCACAAGAATGCTTTAAGGTTAATAGAAACCCATCTGTTGACCGAAATATAGAACAAACAAACTGTGCTGACAACAAAATGTGTTGGCTAAGTAAGACGAATCTAATCTTAATAAAATCAGATCATAATGTATTGCAATAAATAAGGGCCCTTCCATAAATATATTTCTTTAACGGCATGCGCCTTGGACAATTGCGAATGGATTGACGGACTCAAATTCCTGATATGACGTCACAATACCTAAATGGCTATGAGAAATGTATAAATTTAAACATCAATTCTTTAAACAACGGTTGTAAAAATTACGATAACCCAGACGTACCTATGTTCCAACCATTCTGTTGGGGAGCGTACGGTGCTACAGCTGTATCACACATAGGATCTTGTAAATAAGGTGCCACACCCAGTCGTTCTAAGAGTTGGTCCACCAGGGTATCCGTCAAACTATCACCAATATTAGCAGCTTGTTCTTGCAACCATTCGTCCAATTTAAAATCTATATAAAAATATTAGATAACATAAGTCAATCAATCCGTCAAATTTTCGCCTTTGTTTGTCTGAAACTGTGGTCAACATACAAATAAACAATCCTAGGTCGCGGTGGCTCTGTGAGTAAGACGTAGCCGTAGGAATGAGGGTCTGGCAAGCGACATCGTGTGGCCGTTCGGATGGGATGGAAAACCGAGATCCCGTAATGGGATCGTTGCCATGTATCCGCAAAAACTCCATGGAACAGAAGAATTTGTAAACTGTACTGCAGTGGATACAAAAATATCACTAAAGTCTGGCGCTGCTCTGAAATGGCTCTGAATAGTTCAATGTTTACATCTAGAGGTATTTTCAATATGTACCATGAATAGATAATATTAAAACGTCTTCTTTAAGGGGTAAGGCTATCCGAATTTTCTTTTTTAATTTGAAAGCCATTGAATAGAGAATATTACGGGTAGTTTGGAAATGTAGAAATTTTCAGGATATTTAAACAAATATCTGCAACATTACCATGCCATTTTCAATTCAATAAATGTTATTTTAAAATAAAAAAAAACAAAACAATTTTTCGGATAGCCTCGCCCCTTCAAGAAGAATACCCCCCCCCACTTAACAATACCTGTATACTAGGATAGCTCTTACCTTTTAAAGCAAGAGTAGCGTCCCAATCACAGAGTAATTTAGGAACTCTCATGTCAGTGAATACAGGTATTTCTAGTTGACAGATCTCACCAGCAGTGAGGCAAGCACTAAGTCTCATATTGACGATAAACTGTTTCTCACCCTGTAGATCATCTATACTGAATCTATTTATAGACAATTAAACACAAAATAACATCTTCGCCATATATAACGGCAACACAGGATTATTTAAAGCAATGATTTAATAAGGATCTTTTAATTATTTCAACATTTCAAATAAACGGTTTAAATTTTTTATACTTACGTCAGTTTGAATAAGCCACCGATATCAATAATTTCATCTTTACCTGAAGTTAATAAATACATCATATAAACCAATTGTAATAATTGACTACAATTGTTTATTCATTTTCAGCGTTTTCTGAATTTTTATCTGGATTATCACCCTTTTTTATCATTGTTTAATTGTTAACGTTGTAACTGGCGACATCAACAAGAAGACTGTCGCCATCATTCTGCATACCGTTTAGACAGGTGGTATTATTTCTATTGTATTTTTCTTGTAATTTATTGTTTTATTTTGTTTTTATTTTGAGTGAAGCCCGTTTTGTTTTATAATTATAAATGGTCTAAGAAAGTAAAATCAATAATGTCCTCACCCCATTCATAATCCACCAGTGAGATATTAAAGAATATTTTCTCAATACCAACACTCATCTGGAAATTACAAGCATCAATAAGTATATGTGCTTGGAATGATCGTCTAACCTGTGATACCTCAGTACAACAGATGATACCCGTACAATAATCAGGTATATAACATCCTAGATTACTAGGAAGGGCTGGTAGGGTCATATTCAGGGGACAATCTGAAATTAAATATAATCACAACAATTAACTAAAAATTGTACAAAATAAGAATAAATTGATTCCTATAAAATCGCTTGGAGTGGATTTTCACAAGCAGGTTCATACTGGATTTAGAGCCGCGGTGACTCATTGGGGTCCGTCAATACCACCACATACTACCCAATACGACAAATAATACTCAATACCATCCAATATTACCCAATACTACATAATACCATCCATTACTACACAATGCCACCCAATACAACACAATACTACACAATGCCACCCAATACCAAGCAATACTACACAATACCACCCAATACCAAGCAATACTACACAATGCCACCCAATACCACGCAATACTACACAATACCATCCAATACTACACAATGCCACCCAATACTAACACGATTCTACCAAATACCACCAAATACTTCCCTATTATTGTGAAAAAACTGACAGAATACATACCCTTTTTCCATCCATTATTTGCTGTGGCAGTTTTAAACGGCTCTTTAACAAAATTACATGGTTCGTCTTTCAGGAATTCCGTTATACCAAGCTGGTCCATTAACTGATTGGCTAAAATAGCTGTTAATTCACCACCTCTTTCTTTCAACCAGTTCTTCAGTGAGAAATCTAGAAAAGAGTGGAGATCGCTGTAGACAGAGGTCGCATAATCTGCAACGTACACGACACGTGCTATACAAAACGTATGTTCCAATATCGACCAGTTTGAAGAAAATGTAAATAATTATTTATTGTATTTCTGATATATGTCAACATGGGAACGTTAGTGGTGATGATGTTTAACATAGATACATGTCCGAATACACTGTTTCTTGGTAATAGCTCCAATACAATGTTTTTGGGTAAACGCACGAATATACAGCGGTTGTTTTCGCAAACCAACAAAATTCTAAAAAATGCATTTATTACTACCTTTTATTTTGAATCCCATCTGCATGTTACAAAGTGGCATTGGTAATCTGTTCTGTGTAAACACTGGTAATTCTACTTCACATGAATCTGGTCCCTTGAGACACATCTTGACAGTGAGATCCACAATGAATATCTTCTCGTTAACTAAACGATCTATCTTAAAACTAATAAAACAACAACATATATTACCAGCCATTCTCAATCCTATTCCAAGCGCAAAAATATAAAATGAGATGGGGTTTAACATCCTACTGTTCTGCTCCGACTGGGCTAATGAAGCATGGCGTACGCATTACAGTGTGCTGTGAGGGAAATTTTCGTTTAAAAAAGAGGAGATTACAGCCATTTGTGGCCAAATAACATTCATAGTTCTCTCAAATAATTGTATTATCATGGATACTAATGTTAGATATAGACAATAATTGTATTACCATGGATACTATTTTTAGATATAAACAATACAAACCTAATGAACATCACTTCACTTAATTTCTGCTCTTTTTCTTCGCCTAAATAATAAACAAATAAAATGCACTCTTGATTAACGTCCTACACTTTTTTTTAACAAACAAAATTACATAGCTAAAAACAACAATAACAAACAAAATTACATAGCTAAAAACAACAATGATAAACAAAATTACATAGCTAAAAACAACAATAACAAACAAAATTACATAGCTAAAAACAACAATGATAAACAAAATTACATAGCTAAAAACAACAATAACAAACAAAATTACATAGCTAAAAACAACAATAACAAACAAAATTACATAGCTAAAAACAACAATAATAAACAAAATTACATAGCTAAAAACAACAATGATAAACAAAGTTACATAGCTAAAAACAACAATAACAAACAAAATTACATAGCTAAAAACAACAATGATAAACAAAGTTACATAGCTCAAAACAACAATAACAAACAAAATTACATAGCTAAAAACAACAATAACAAACAAAATTACATAGCTAAAAACAACAATGATAAACAAAGTTACATAGCTCAAAACAACAATAACAAACAAAATTACATAGCTAAAAACAACAATGATAAACAAAATTACATAGCTAAAAACAACAATGATAAACAAAGTTACATAGCTCAAAACAACAATGATAAACAAAGTTACATAGCTCAAAACAACAATAATAGTAATAAATAAAGTTACATAATCAATAAATAAAACTACAACAACAATAATTGTAATAATAATAATAAAGTTACATAGTTAACAAGGACAATAATGATGATTGTAACAATAAATTATTTTTTGAAAAATGAAATATTAAACAAATTAAATAAAATAATCCAAGATTAAAGTATAAAAACCTACCCCAAGCATATTCAAGAATAGGAAATTTAAATCCAAATTTCTCGATTGCACCTTCTATGACGTAATTGCAGGTGTCAATATACAGGTATGCGTTAATTGACATGTCAAGAATATCATTATACAGACAGCAATCTACACCAGTACAATAGTCAGGTATATAACAATTAACAGGTGCGTTGATAGCTGGTAGATTCTTCACCTTGGGACAATCTAGACAAGAGAAAATGTAGATATTGAGAACACGAGACAATGTAGCTCTTGAGAACACGAGACATTGTAGATATTGAGAACACGAGACAATATGAGATAGTGTAGATATTGAGAACACGAGACAGAGTAGAAAAACATAGGGATTGTGTTGATGAATGTTTATTATATTAGAAACGTCGCCCATATAAAACAGTAATTGTTCTTCCATAAGTATATGTTATAGTTTATTGCTCTATCCAGTTACTAAATGATTAATAATAGAGGTGTGTGTGTGCGTGTGCGTGCGTGCGCGTGTGTGTGTGTAAGCGTGAAAGAGTGTGTGTGTGTGTGGGGGGGGGGGGGGGTATACATTGTTTTGAAACTCAGTTCAGATACAAAATAACAAGGCTTGCTACACATGTTGTCTCAACATATTCATAGGTTAGAAAACCCAGAAATATTCAAAATATTATATTAGATATAAATTAATTTCTAATAAGACAAGCTTACCATTCTTCCAGTTATTCGTGTCCGCAGGTTGGTATTTTAAACTGGTTCTACTACAAGGTGGGTCCAACAATTTGTCAGCTATACCTAGCTGTTCTAATAACACTTGTACAGCTTGTTTCGTAAGATCTTTAGCAAGGTCTAAACCTTTAGACTTCACCCATTCAGATACAGAGAAATCTGGAATGTGAGAAAGACATAATATTTATTTTTACAATATCCACAAATATTTTCACAACAACGTCAAGCTGCACTATTTGGTTTCACGGTAAACGATGAAAGGATAAAAAGATAAAAGGTATACCGACACAAACTGATTTTATATAGTAACTATAGTAGCCTAGCACAATAAAATGGCCTGATGATTCGTTTTAACACGATGAAAGTACTAATCAGAAATTAAATTTTAAATGGTTTTCTTTCTCTAATACTTCGATTTTATTTACATTTTTAACTGAGAGTTAGATCATTGGATATTATGTTCGTGGGTTTTACAAATAGGCAGACACAGTGACTAAGTGAGTAAGACGCTGGCCCGTCAATGAGATAGTCTCGAGTTCAATCCCGATAGTGACCAAGAAAGTTCCTCCAAGTATTCCGTCATGTTTCCCCTTTGGCAAAGGTCCATAATATTGAGGGTATGACAAGGAAAGTGTCTAGTCGTTCGGATGATACGAAAAACCAGAACACACGTCTACCCTTGACAGTTGGAATTTGAAATACGAATAGGTCGAAGGCGATGTATATCATTCCATTTGAGTTAGGAAGGCGATGTATATCATTCCATTTGAGTTTGGAAGTCGATGTATAAAGTTCATTTAAGCGAGGAAATCGCTGTATAAAACCATTTGATTTGGGAAGGTGATACATAAAAGCCCGTCTTCATTAGCCCAGCGTTAAACCACCAATTCATTTCAGCTTTGGTATTTTTGAGCTTCCAGTTCAAATATCCAGTTAGTTCGATGGTACTATAAAATGTTACATACATCAAATACTATTATTAACAATATCTATCTATATACTTACTTTTACATACATCCAAGACATGATATTACTATTATTAATAATATCTAACTATATACTTACTTTTAAGGTTAAAGTCTAATTTGGCATTCAGGTCACAGATGAATTGAGGTATTTCAGTTCCAACTAAAACCGGAAGTTCAACTTGACACTGATCTTTATCGAAACATACTTTGACAGTCAGATCCAATATAAACTTCTTGTCAACCTTTCGTACACCATATCTTAATAATAAATAAAAATATCACTATAAATTTAATAATGGTCGGTATTTAAAAAACACCTTTTACTAATCGGAATAAAGGTAAAGATTACAAAATGAAATGAAATGGGGTTTAACGTCCTACAAGGTTGCTCCGAACTGGGCTAATGAAGATTACAATACATATCAACGGACATATATTGACGTGAAATGGGATGAGGTTTAGCGTCCTACTGTACTGCTCCGACTGGGCTAATGAAGACGGACATACGCCATACAGTGTGCTATGCGGGACATTGTGCCAGCGGCACTATCGCCTATTCTTATATCGAATTCCAACAGCCAAGGGATCTTTTACGTGCATGCCAATGTATACACGGGACCTCGGTTCTCCGTCCCATCCGAACGACTAGAGCCCTCCGTCCTGCACAACTGGCGGAGGAAACCTCGTCGGATAATCCCTATGAACTTTCTCGGAGAATGTATGGATCGAACCTGCGACATCCGGGCTAGCGAGCCAGCGACTTACCAACCGTCTCTCCCTAATACAAACAATACTGGGTAATCAGATACCCTGATCACTAAGACATAAAAAAACAAAAAAACAACTTACTCGACATTAAAGAAATCTGATATTTTGACCTCACCAGTGACTCCTGCAAATAAATAGTATTTATCTGATTTCAGAATAACAACAGAAATATATGATTGACAGTTGTAGTGTATCTTGATTTTATAATTACTATTAACCAATGTCGGTTTCTCGAGCGCCAAATCCCCATAAACATGCCCGAAGTGATTCATTGATAATTTGGAAAGCTGCGAGAACTTTGCTATCGTGATGAATATAACAATAATAATAATAACCAATTTGTATTACCTGTTTTCAGATCTACAATATGATCAATTAGGGAATATTGTTTATGTTGTATTACTAGAATTGAGATCTACATTATGACCAGGTAGAGAAAACTATTTTTCTAATATATGTATTTAAATCTACAATATTAATCCAGGGTATGGATAGTGTCAGCGGCGTCAATCTTCACATCTTTGTTAGTTTTCGTGTTTTGTTTGTGACGTTTCCAGGATGCAATCTTAGTATTGAACTAACTACAGCCTGTTGGTGGTCATTTATTGGTTTGTAGGACCTGCTTGGACAATGGTACAATACTTTAATTAAGACAAATCAGAGAATAATTAAAATGTTATTACCTGTATTTAGATCAACACTATCACCAAGTAGAGAATATTTCACATCTTTATTTTCAATAGCAGCCTCAATAAAATAATCACATGTATCTATATTGAGGAAAGCGTGGAAGGACATATCTAGGAAGTCGACATTAAAACAACAATCTATTTTGGTACAGGTATCTCCCAGATGACAAACCAATCCTTTAGGTAACTTGGGTAATTTTTTGATGGGTTTCGGGCAATCTGAAATATATATTAGAAGTTATTGTGAAATCCGTATAGTATGTTGACGAGTTAAACGTCCATTCGACTCAAGCTAGGTCATTGCAGGACTAACATATGGTTAACTTTTTATTTCAATAATTCGCTTGTATGTAGGGGCCTTTAACAGTGGGAGGTAACCGGAGGATCGGAAAAAAACCTACGAATTTGGACAGGCGATCCTACTCCTTGTCATGTACAAGCGGGGAATTGAAACCACACCACTTTATCAAATGACATACCTTATAATCTAACTCACACACGTTTAATCATTCGGCCACCCAACTACCCTAAAATCCCCGATGATATTAAGATCTGAGGGATAAGTGTGCTGTATAATATAAGTAATTGATATGTACCATTTCTCCAGCCGTCCGTATTAGAAGAATATGGCGGTCGTTTGATATCACATCGTTCTTCCAATAAATATGGTGTTATACCAAATTTATCCAATAAAAACCTGGCGGCTGATGCAGCTAGTTTCTGCCCAGCTTCAGCACCAACCTCCTTCATAAAATCATTTAAGTTGAAATCTGTAACAAGACAAATAAAATCATTTAATCATTCAATAAACAGGTTAAAGGAACTAAACCCTCCAATTCAATAGTTTCCATAACATTCATATTTAAAAACACGAATTAGAATTCAATATTGGTCCAGATACTCTTCTATCAGTCAAATTGGGTAGAAATCTAGAGAGTTATACTCCGATATCAGTCAGATTGGTTAGAAATCTAGAGAGTTAGTACTCATCAGTCAGATTGGGTAGAAATCTAGAGAGTTATACTCCGATATCAGTCAGATTGGGTAGAAATCTAGAGAGTTAGTACTCATCAGTCAGATTGGGTAGAGATCTATAGGGTTGATACTCCTATATCAGTCAGATTGGGTAAACATCTAGAGGGTGTTAATACTCACCGATATTAGTCAGATTGGCAAGAGATCTAGCATCACATGCTGGTATACGTTCTTGTTTCATCAGTTGTAAACCTTCTTCAGGGAAACAGAATGGTGTTCCATCAATAGGAATACACGCTTTCACATTTAGATCTACTATAAAACCTTTAGGGTATTGGGCTATTGTGAAACTACAAGAAAAACATGAATGCATTTCATTACCGATTTGAATAAGGTTCGAATAGAGAGAGAGAGAGAGAGAGAGAGAGAGAGAGAGAGGGAGAGAGAGAGAGAAATGGGTTTAACGTCCACTCGACACAAACTAGGTAATTTCGGGACTAACATATGGTTTAATTTTATTTCAATAATTCGCTTGCGCGTAGGGGTCTTTAGCAGTGGGAGGAAACCGGAGGACCCGGAGAAAACCCACGAGGTTGGACAGGCGACCCTACTCCTTGTCACGTACAACTGGGGATTCGAAACCACGCCAGTTGACTCAATGACAGGCCTTATGGTACAGCGCGAGCGTGCTAACCATTCGGCCACCCAACCCCCAAAGGTTCTAATAAATGAAAATGAAATGAAATGGTGTTTAACGTCCTACTGGTCTTCTCCCACTGGGCTAATGAAGACGGGCATACGCCATACAGTGTGCTATGAGGGAAATTTTGCCTGGACAGGAGTTTTATGGTCCACACCAGTTGACTCAATGACAGACCTTATGATCTAAAGCGCATGCGTTAGACCCCACCCCTCTCTTTCTAGGTTTTATATAAATACTATTGTTTATAATATAATGGTTTAATGTAAGTATAATATAGACATAGGTTTATCTGGAGTAAGACAACTAAACTTACGATATGGTGATTGGAGCTGGATCTCCATTTCCTATAGTTAATGTAGATGGTTTTCCTGTAAAAACACATCAACAAGGGCATAGTTTATTAAAACAAGGCAAAACATCGCTTGATATTTAATATATGGCGGGCTTAATGTTTATAACACACAAACACATAGCTATACAAACTGGATAATATAGAAATGAAATGGATTTTAACGTCCTGCTGTTCAGGTCCGACTGGACTAATGATGAGGGACGTACGCCATACAATGTGGTGTGAGGGGAATTTTGACCGGACACCGGCGCTACGGACTACTCTTATATCGAATTCCAACTGCCAAGGGATCTTTTAGGTGCACGCCAATGTGTACACAGGGCTCAGTTTTTCGTCACATCCGAACCACTATCCCCTGTCCCTTGCCAGATTCGCTGTCCTGCACCACAGACAACAGGAGACAACGCAGTGATCGAACACAGGACGTCGTCTTATTCTGAGTCACTATTGACAACAAAAATCATCAGTCAACTTGACCTGCTATTTTATTCATGCCAAGGTAGATGTGGACCCGCCAACTTTTCTCGCGACAACGAATTTTAAATCTGTGTTTCAAATCGACACTTTTTATATACAAGAACGTTTTTATGCCTTTTTCGTATATGATTAATTTTAATTAAATCTACCTGTCCATAATATCATATATAATGTATTGGATGATAAAATCACCTTCACGAACTAATTATTCATGAGTATATTGTACATAGTGAATTTTATATCTTATTAATTGTACAGTACCATTGAATGTATATATTGCAGTACTGAGCACTACAATAAATGTAATAAAATAAAACTTCAACTTACCCCAGTCATATGTCAACAGAGTTTCTGTGTGCTGGAACTGTCCAAATCCAACTTTTAGAACGAAGTTACAAGGATCGAATTCCAGGAATACTGGAACACTCTTGTGTATAGGTTCATCAACAAATGGTATTTTAAACTCGAAATCCACACAACAATGCAAACCGAAACAATTATCTGGCATTCCACATGTTACTTTATCTTTTATATTAGCTGGTAAATATTTCTCTACGTCAATATTCCACGGACAATCTGTCAACATATAATAATCGGTTATTAGTAAGTTCAGGGGGACTACACCACACACAATAACACAATACAAACCCACGGACACCACACACAGACATCACAAACAACAAACGTATATATCAGACCACGTGAATGGATCTGGATGTAGACTTAATTAACCAATTAGATATAAGTCTCAAATTAACTTAGATGTACCCGCATGGAAACTGAAATTAAAGTAGTCACTACCCGAATCTCTGAAACCTTCCCCATCACTAACAACATTTAAATCACATTTAAAAATCATTCTGTTTGAATTTTCTTACAGATAAACCTATTTTGGTTAGCACTTTGAGCAGATATTTTGTTCGAGAGTGCAATATAAGAATCATTATATGATATGTATTATTATTAACAAACAACATACCTGTAGGAGACGGAGCAACTGTACAGGTACCATCCGTAAATATTTTCTATAATCAAAACGTAAAATTGTAATTAATTGGACAAGGGCATGTGATTCAAATAATCTATTAACAAATATTATAAACTAATTGTTTCAATGGCATTTAGTAATTGTACTTAAAATACAGATGTGACGTCATTATTTCCAGTAACGTACGGGCAACCTGCCAATCGTACATTATCTATACTAGATGAAATATTGGACTCGAGCTAAAGATATTGTGTAATATATTGAAACAACACTCGGCTGACGCCTCGTGCAGTATCAATATATTACTTAATGTCTCGCTTTCGACCATTAAACCATACTGAATATACAGGTGATAATTCTATGTCTCGCTTTCGACCATTAAACCATACTGAATATACAGGTGATAATTTTATGGAATACAATTACTGCTTATAACTGAGCTATGTTACATTTTATATTTTATCCTTGCTTGATAGTGACTAGAGGAGCCTACTCGTTCAGTAATTGTCTTCTGTATAATTGTTACCTGAGAAGAGATGATATAAATAGTAATGGGTCCATCTATATATACTAGATAACTTACATTTAATCCAAGTTTCTGGAAAATGACGTCTACGGCAGCTTGTGAAAGTTTCCCTCCAAGTGCCTTAGCAAATTCCTTGATTGAACCACCACCTACAAGCAACAAATTATTATTGTCAATAATACGATATCTTTATTCGTCCCTAATTTTACACTTTCAACGAAAAATACATACATGATATTTATAAGCGTTTATTAGTTATTTACAGTTACATCTACACCATGCTTGTGAAATACGTAAATAATTTCGCCTATATCAGGATCTTGATTGAGGTCGCTAAATAACAGAACATTCCACATTACTGCACAGACTGGTCTAATGGAGACGGTCATACGGCCATACGTCATACATACTGGGCTAATGGAGACGGTCATACGGCCATACGTCATACATACTGGTCTAATGGAGACGGGCATACGTCATACAGACTGGTCTAATGGAGACGGTCATACGGCCATACGTCATACAGACTCTTTTACAACTAGACATTGTACTTGTCAGCCCCATTCTTCCTGAGCCACCCTGCACTACCGACAAGACGACAAACCGCACCAGAAAGTCTCGAGGAACTTGATCTGCCAACACCGGTGGCGAAAACTAGACAGTGCCTCACCCACTGACCAACTGTGACTGTAACTTGATCAAGATATACATAAATCACCTGTTTATCTTACCTGGGAGTGTGAAATTCTCATTACATATAGGTATAGGTATTCTCATATCTTCGATCATCTGACTATCTATTGATGTTTCATCATCAGTTAATGTAATCTTTAAACCAAAATCAACAATAAAAACTTTCTCATCACTGTTTTTATCGATAGTAAACCTGAATTTATAGTTAAACAGAATATAAACATTTGTCATAGTCTTAATTTGGATAAGCCAACTTGTAGACGTGGTATAATTAAACCTTTAGATATGTTTATTTGGTTAAGCTGGCTTCTGGTCGTGGTATAACAACATTTAGTTATATCAACTGATTGGGACGACTCTTATTTTTCAGAACGTATGTGTTTAAAAATACATAGTAAAGGTCATTCATTACACATGAGTAAACTCTCTTTAAGTGGACCAAATCATAACTTACCTCAATGTAATCGCATCACCTATTGGGATTTCTTCAGGAGTACCTAAATTGTTAAAAAAAATAAAATAAACTAAATGAAAACCTATTATATACAATGATAAAACGATTCCGCGCATGAACATTTGGTCTTTGCTGTGGAGGGAAACTGGCGTACCCGGGGTAAACCCACGAGGTTAAAAAGGCGTCCCTATCTCCAAGTCGCATACGCTCACATCAGGGACCGAACTCGACACTCTAGTCCACGAGGACACCCCAAACCCAAACCAATGGTGAAGTACAAGGGTACGGAAGTCATAAGGATTTATAACGGAGAGTAATTATACGGATAAGTAAGAATGAAAAAATAAATCACTCACCCCATTCATATCCAATCAGTACAATAGAATGTTTATATTTCTCGAAGCCCACGTGTAACATAAAATTACACGAATCCAGTTCAACATAAGCGTTGAAGGCTTTGGTAAAGTTGAATAATTTCGTTCTTATTTTAACATCGACACAGGCCTGTAGATGCATACAATTATCTGAGATTTGTAAATAGATTAATTTCTTCAACTTCTCGTTTTTTATTGTTGGTAGAGTCAAGGTTTTATCGAAGATTTTACACGCTATAAAAAAATTAAAAAACAACATTTAAAATAAATTAAAAATGTATAACTTAATGACATTTCTGCTAAGAGAATCCGGATGACAGAATTAGAAAAACAATCGACAAAAATATTTAAATCAAAATATAAAATACAAAACCAATTTCATTTTCAGTTGTTCGGCGACGTAATAAATGAATAGACACTTGAACCACACAGAAGGGGTTTAGTTTTAAATTTCAAATCGTATAAAATAGGCACCAGCTTTTTGTTTTTAGATTAGTATTTTCCTCGAAGAAATAAGAACAAATTAAACAGGTGTTACTAAAGAACAGAAAACCATATATGTATGGCCTTAACGTGGAATTACTGGCTACAATACACAATTTGATTGTAGTTATTACACAAGAATTTCAACTGCTATTGCATGATTTAAACATATTCAAATCTTACTTTTCTCAGCCTGGATAAGCCTGTCGATTAACTGTTGAGAAGTTCCGGTTGTTATCAAACCTCGATCACCAAGTCGATTCTTCAATATTGCATTGGTCAAAATTTCGGGTCGTTGGCAAGGTGGTGTCTCTTCTAACAGATCCTATTGTTTGAATAATAATTAATGATAAAAAAAGTGTCATAACTTGGAGAAAATAATTTATTCATTTTTAAATCTTTGGAATTCTTACTTATCTAATTTAGAAGATCAGAATTAGATCGTCTTTATTGAATAAAAAACCCTTTCGGGTACAAAATAGTCGAATCTAATGGATACGACAGACATTAACAGATTAAAGGATAATGTTGAGTTATTTGGTATCCCTCTCGTGCATTCCCTTTTTTGCGTCATTTCCTGATTATTTAAATCATTGTTACGAATCAACCGTAGCAAAGACCTCTGCATTAAATTATATTTGGAATGTGTGTAACCAGTTCCAACACATAATGTATTATTGGTGGACACCAATCTTGTCCTTTAACCAGGTCTATCACATATATAATATGGGTAGACAACAACGTTGTCCTTTAACCAGCTTTACCACAAATGTAATATGGGTGGAAACCAACGTTGTCCTTTAAAACCGATTAACGTTGGATTGATATAATTCTGATGACATTTGGACAACATTTAAATATGGATGAATTATGACGTAAGTATTCACGTTGTAAGCAATAATACGGGCGAACTTCACTGAAGTAAAAGTATATAAAATTACCTCAGGTATACCAAGTTGTTTCAATGCTTCCTTTAATCCGTATTCCACGGATTCTTCGGCTAATTTCTTAGCCGATTCTTTTAACCTTTTCTTGATAGCATCCCGACTGTAATACTCTTTCCAGTTGACTGAAATATTGTCATAAATAATATACTAATATTTGTCACTGTTTGTTGGTCTGTTCACGGTGGGTGGGTAAACTAGGACTGTCCGGAAGCTGAAATTTAGTGTATAGGGGTGGCTCTGACCGGGGAATAACAAGCCTGGTGGCGATGGTCTATCACTTCCGGTTTCGGGGTAATGACCACTGGGTTTTGGGACCCGGGCGAATTTCGACCCCGGGCTAAGACGGGCATCCTTCTAGTATTTAAGAAAATCAGATATTTTGTCATTTTAAACAACCGGTTTATTGTCATATAACAAACGATATATTTTCATATATTGAACACATCCGGTACATTGTCATATACTGAACAAACCCGGTACATTGTCATACTGAACAAATCCCGTACATTTTCATATACTGAACACATCTGGTACATTTAAGAAAATCAGATATTTTGTCATTTTAAACAACCGGTTTATTGTCATATAACAAACGATATATTTTCATATATTGAACACATCCGGTACATTGTCATATACTGAACAAACCTGGTACATTGTCATATACTGAACAAATCCCGTACATTGTCATATATATTGATGAGAGCCGCGGTGATTCAATGAGTCAGGCTCACCAATTATCAGGAGGTCAAGGGTTCGATCCCGGTGTTGGTCTAAAAAGATCCCTGGATTTTCCACTATGGTTTGCCCTTAAAATGAGAAGTGTTATCAGATGTTATTGTGCTTACCTTCTGGCCAGGTTAGCGAACCATCAGGGTTACAGATTGGTAATGGTAAGATTGATTCATCTAATAACATTAAGAATGGCATACAGTTACTGTTATCTTCCTGGGAACAGAAACCAACACCAACTGTTCCTAAAGCTACTGTATCGGTTTTCTCAACTTTTACCCTGTAAAAAATACACGACATGTCAACTATATCTCACCTTGATCCCTTGGCAGCTTAATTCTATTTAAGAGGACGCGACAAACAATAACTTGGCTTGCACGTTAAAGATCCCTTGGCAGTTGGAATTGGATATAAGAGTGGACCATAGCGCCACTATCCGGGCAAAGTTTTGCTCACAGCACACTGTATTGTGTATGCCCGTCTTCATTAGTCAAGCGAGAGCAGAACATCACGATGTTAAACCACATTTTATATTTCAATCTTATTCAAATTAGGTGACATTATTGTTATTCTTCTCTGGGGTTAAACGTTCGCTATTTTCGTGGATTCGTGGATAAATATGTGAGAAATTTTATATTTGAGCGAAAAATGCAATTGATGGATCGTCACTTTAATGTGGTACCCAATACAAGATGTTAGGAATATCGCTTGACTTACCTGATAACTAATTCCATTCCACCGAGTAAATCGATTTTAACACCTGGTTTTACTTCTAAATCAAAACCTGATATAAAAGATAAAAAATATAACGTTTTAGATTAACACTATACATCAATATATTTTTCTGAAAGGAATGTTTGTTTTGTTTTCTGAAGTTATGAATGTTTAAAATGCAAATTAAATTTTATTATTTGAAATAAAGCAAAAAATAATGAGTACCTCCATATATATCACCAAAACCGCCGAACTTTTTCTCAAACTTGTCTTTGATTCCCAGAACAAATTCCAGATTACAAGGATCGAATCTAGCATAGAGTTTATAGGTTTTCAGGAACATGAAGACTTTAAGGTGAACGCAACACTCCAGACCTAAACAATGCTGATCAAACGTACAGTACATGTTTTTAGGCAACCTCATGGTCATACCCGGACATTCTGAAATGGTAAAAACATAAATATATAAATTAATTTTCACAATTAATTACATCCAGGACAACACGAAAGAGTAAAAAAATAATTACAAATACGGATTTGTAGATGTTTTTCCACATTTAACAATGTCCGTGTCCGTCTCTTGAGACAGATTATGGGGTGACCAATGTTATCATTAAGCGGTGTTTTTTCTGGACTTATCGTTTTGCTTTTTCTTAAATCCCTCACGTCTAAAATTAACGCCTGTTCAATGCCTTTGTTTATTGGACTGCTTGGCTAATTCTGGTTCTGTTTTTCATTTTCTGGGTGAACCTTTCTTTTCTATTATAAAATTACCACTATTTTTCATGGAATTTAACATTGAATGTAATTCGCGTATTAATATCACTAAATAACGTACCTAGTAATAAACCAGGAAATATTTCAATGAATTATCAAATTGTGATAAGAGCATATCTTGTTAAAGAATATTTCTTCCAGGGAGCCAAGAGTTAAATTGTGACCCCATGACCACGCCTTTGATTTATTCATAAAATTGACATCGAGATAGAAAGTGTTACTAATTTGAAAAGCATTTGAAAAACATTCTGGCATTATGGATTAGAATCGGTTCAACCAATAACTTTTCTGTCACCAGTTTCTATTTAGAGAGAGATGGGGTTTAACGTCTACTCGACACAAACTAGGTCATATCGGGAGTCACATATGGTTTAATTTTATTTCAACAATTCGCTTGCGAGTAGGGGTCTTTAGCAGCGGGAGGAAACCGGAGTTTCTATTCAACTTTTTCTGTACCAAATAGGTAAAGCTAATATGTACACATGATGGCGATAAACCAGTTACACATGTAATGTAAAGTCATTTGTGATGTATTAACTTTTTGGGGAAAGCAATGATATCACATGGTACTTGACGCCATAACCATCATGTTACTGGCGATAAAGTAGTTACTTACTGCTGCCATGATTGGTTAAAGTATTTATCATAGTTTGACGAGATCCTTCAGCGACTTTTCCTCGTTCTGTTAATTCTGCTCTTAGTTGATCATCGGTCATCTGGTAGGGATTAAAACATGGCTTGTTATCAATGATTTCCTGAAATAAATAGTATTACAATAAACAAACTCATCTGATAGAGGTTAAAACATGGCTTGTTATCAATGATTTCCTGAAATAAACAGTATTACCATAAACAAGCTCATCCGTAGCTTTATGATGGGTTGGGTAGTCTAGGGGCTTAACGCTTTAATAATAACAACCACCCCACCTTTATCTTAACAATATCAACCATTTGACGGGTCCCTACCTTTATTTTAAGGATAACTTCGGCCATGTGTCCTTTGCTCTCATCCAATCCTAATATATCCAACAAATCCAAGATGGCGCCAACTTTCAATTTTCGAAGCGAAAATTTCTGTAAAAATGCAGTTGGCTTTTTGAAGAAGTTTTTCAGTCCTAAAAAAAATAATTTACTTAATTTAGCTAAATATATGTTTATTAAAAACTGATATAAGATTATGTTGAAAATAACAATCAAGTACATTGCTGATGACAAGCACAGTGACTCATAAAATTACGGAAAGTGTGATGAATAGTTTGCTTCTCATTAGATAGAAACTTTACGAATATACGTTTATATCCCTTGAAATAGTTTGTTCTGTGTGACGAGTTGTGTAATATTGAACATTATTCTGGCGGAAGTGTTATTGCTGTTATAGTAAGGAATCGACGAACATAATTGTTTATTGTAACTGAAGAGCCCAGGGGAAGAACAATCTAAGTCACTTTTTCCATGAACCTCAGTTAATACCTCCATCCGGTAGCAAATTGTATACGGATTCTGTGGAACAATCAATTCAGATAAACACGATCGGAGTCACATCGAACCAGGGCTTATTTGAAATGTTCTCCTGGTCGAGGACGATCTAAATCCACAGCGTCCGGGAATCGGGAAGCATTCTCGTTCATCAGGTTTCAAAGTTTGTTTTGAGTTTTATGTGACAAAGATCGTTCTCCCCCTGGGCTCTTCAGCTATTATCATTAGTTGACATGTTGAATCTAAAATAAAATTGTCCATTTTATTGGATTTGATATTTCTATGTGTTTTAATAATGGGGCCACAACAGTTCCCTGGCCCACTACATCAGGAAGTCCGGGTTCGATCACGGTTTTGGTCCGACGAAAGCTTTTCAGTGGAGCATGATAGAGTGCCTTCAAGGAAAAGAGCAACACAAACTAGGTTATTTTGGGACTAATATATGTTTCAATTTTTGTTTCAATAATTCGAATAAAATCCACGAGGTTGGACAAGGCTCGGCTTGGATGTAATAAAATCCCTGGCAGTTGGAATGTGGGGAACGGTAGGCGGAAATTTCCCACATACTAAACTACACGGCGTGTGTTCGTCTTCATTAATCCAATTGTTGTAGAATATTAAGACCTTAAATCCCATTTCACTCCTTTTATAGACACCATCGTGGACAAGTATACGGCCATTGATAAAGCCATCGGTTACTCATAAATATCAACTCACCAGAATCTTTAGTGTTTTTTGTTTTTTCTTCAACTTTGTTGCTGTTCTTCTCAACCTTACTTAACATAGAATCATCGCCAACTGGAAAACAAAACAACCTTACTTAACATAGAATCATCACCAACTGGAAAACAAAACAACCTTACTTAACATAGAATCATCGCCAACTGGAAAACAAAACAAAAACTTTACTTAACATAGAATCATCACCAACTGGAAAACAAAACAACCTTACTTAACATAGAATCATCACCAACTGGAAAACAAAACAACCTTACTTAACATAGAATCATCACCAACTGGAAAACAAAACAACCTTACTTAACATAGAATCATCACCAACTGGAAAACAAAACAAAAACTTTACTTAACATAGAATCATCACCAACTGGAAAACAAAACAAAAACTTTACTTAACATAGAATCATCACCAACTGGAAAACAAAACAAAAACTTTACTTAACATAGAATCATCACCAACTGGAAAACAAAACAAAAGCTATACATCAGTTTACAGTAAACCTAATTACTGAGAATACCGTCTTCCCTTTTTCCTGAAATGTGTGAACAAGTTTAATAATAAAATAACTATAATATGTATAACAATATGTAATTTGAAAAAAAATCCCAACAACTTACATAATCCTTCATCTAGTACTTTAGCTGGATCATCTTGATCATCCAGGTTGATAGGTTTTTCTATATTATCTCCTGTTCTCGCTGGTTCCTCGGTTGTATTGTCTTTACCTCCAAGACCAATTAGAACACCTTCTGATACCACATCAAACTATACAAAATGTATACAATATATACAATAATACACAGTGTTATACTACAATACACATACAATATATACACAATAATACACAGGGCTATACTATACAATATACAGACAGTGTTATACTATACACACTGGTAGGGGGTGGGTGGCCGAATGATTAAACGTGTGCACATTTGATCGTAAGATCTGTCATTGAGTCAGGTGACGATTCTACGGTTGTACGTGACAAGGAATAGGTTCGCCTATCCAGTCTCGCGAGTTTCCTCTCCACTGTTAATTATGAAATAACCTACCTTTTAGTTTCAGATGTTGTACATTAAAAACAACTCTCATTTATTTAAACAAGCTTATAATTAACTCTGATGTAACAAGCTAACTCTGATGTAACAAGGTCTTACCTTCCACACTAGTTTGTAGTCATCACATTCTTGTTCCCATTTCGGTAAAGCTGGAATCCTGGGAGGAACGTATCTGGTAGGGTCGATAACTCCACCGTCGTTCTTCTGCATAGCGAAATGTATGTGATCTTCAGCTCCACAGATGGACGATGTCACTTCACCAATTTTTTGTCCGGCAGTTACCTAGGAATTAAATAAAAATTCTAACTAGTATGTACCGAACAACAGGATATAATTCCAGTCTTGTATGACTGCGTGTACAATGTTTTGTCCGGCAGTTACCTAGGAATTTTACGCAAGTTCTAACTAGTTTGTGCCCAACACAGGAAATGATTGAATGACTTTGTGTGCAATTTAAGATGATTTTGTCGAACCAAGTAAAAGATGCAGGAGACCATGTAGGAACTATTCAAAACATTTTAGTTAACCTACCAAAATGATTGATCAGGGGCCTGAAATATGAAATCTTAAACTATGATATGTTAAGGTTTCAATAATTCCATTGGGTGAGAGTTACAATTCTAGTACAAATTTCAGATCTTGACTTATTAAAATAGTTTAGTTTAAGGTCTCACTGTTTGATGCCTGAGTAATGAATATATAGTTTATATTGACCAGTGTTTGGGTGAAATTTAGCTACTGAGCACATTGGGTACATTAAAAAACACAACATAATTTATATGGAAAACAATCACTGGTTTATACACATTTAGCACGACGTTTCAACAAGTATTCAATGACTGACTTGTAATCCGATGAATCTTGTCCAGTTATTGTACTGTTTGGTTTTATATTGACAAGAGTTTAATGTAATTTATAATTACCAGTGTTTGTGTATAATCCGATGAATCTTGTCTAGTTATAGTACTATTAGGTTTTATGTTGGTTATTATCAACTTGGTATCTTTCAATGAACCACCAGTCGCCTGTATTATAACTTCATTCTCATTGGTTGGTGATAACATGATGTATCCTGGGAACGGTGCTACAATCTAAATACATTGAACAATGAAAACCTCAGCCAAATTATCGACAATTACAAGAGATCAATATTTTCTTTTTTAACGGAAAGAAATGAAATGACATGGAGTATGTAGTTACCATTGAGCCCCGTGATATTAAACACCATAGTATTTTAATTTCAAATTGATATCAGCAATATTACAAACCATGTAATACAAATGAAATGACATGGGGTATGTATTTACCATTGAGCCCCGTGATATTAAACACCATAGTATTTTAATTTCAAATTGATATCAGCAATATTACAAACCAGGTAATAGAAATTGATATCAGCAATATTACAAACCAGGTAATAGAAATTGATATCAGCAATATTACAAACCAGGTAATACAAATAAAATAGGGTTTAACATTCCACCTTTCTGCCCCGACCGGGATAATGAAGATGGGGCACGGAATAGAATAATATTATTAATTTATTTACCTTTGATCCTCGTGATATTTGAAGATCAACGCCATCTACATCGTATTCCTTCCCCTTCTTTAACTCGGAGGGATAAAAACCGGAACCGTCACATCCGCCGCCTTTTGTACGGAATTTCTTGGGGAAATCTCGGTGACATTTTGGTCCAAAGACACGGTCGATTAGTGATCGGGCTGTACTATACCTATAAACAAGTCAAACAAAAAATAAAATTTTATTTTTCTTCAAAACTCTACAAATAATTTTCCATTCTTCATCAAACGGTACTTATTCTCAGTCATTAGTTAATTTATCTAGCTGCCCAAATGTTAAACGCTGTATTGCCGATTCTCTATCGTTAGAAATGTAATTATAATGCCCAGCAATCGCTGTATGACGACTTACTGGATTACCCCGATATTGCGACGTTCTTACCTCTATGTATACAAATTTTGTTCTAAATATAAAAAAATAGCTAATTTTATGAACTTCATGAAACAGGAGAACCTCACCACACACAACAATTAACTAGAAAACAAGAAGACAAATACACGGACGACATAGTACTATATTACTTACCCTTCTTTAAGAGCATTGTATGAGTCTTTAACATCAGTGACGAGTTTAAATATAGATGTGAATCTGTTAAAGAAGGATTCCCCGAGTGCTTTTACAGAATCAAAGGGTTCTAGAAGATCATCAATGATCGATTTTAAATCATCCATTACTTGTTGTCGTAACTCAGCCTTTAAACATAGAAAACAATTACATATTATAATACATTAATCTCTTGACGTTTAGAAATCGACCAAGGTTTTTACACAGAATAAACAACGCCATCTAATGTCAGGTTCCCACTATCACGATTTGTACTACGATTGAAACCGTGGTTTTAATCGTGGAGTAATCGTGGTGATCCTATCAGGTCTTATCATATATTGATGTCAGTCGTAGCAATCGTGTTGATCGTATCAAAACGTATCTGCACGTACCAGACCGTGAACAGTATAGGAACAATCCTATCACACGACAGTGGGGACCTAACGTAAACAATAATTAATGATATACTATCGCTCGGTAATGATTTATAAACGTTTCCCAGAAATATTCAGATTAAATAATAATAAGGAATCACACTACAAAAACGACCATATTGAAATGCCTATAGATAAACAGAAACGACGTTTTATATTATGTTTACACATCTTAGACATTTAACGAAACGAAAAACAAACAATAAAATACAACACGTGGTAATGTTAAAATACAAACCGTGCTAAATCGTCCATTCGTAAAAGCAGCGACAGGATCCTGTCCTTTCTTGAATTTTTCACCAACCCACGTTTGACCACCTTTAAGTAAGGAGGCTTTAGTTTGGATGGTCAACTCCTTAATTTCCGCAAATTCACCTTTCAAATCAAACCAATATGGCTTCTCCTCTGAAGATATAATAAGGTGCAATCATGTAAAATACAATTGAAATGAAAAGGGGTGTCAGGAAAAGTCATATACTACCACTAGTACGACACCCATCAATGATTATGAGCTAAATGTGGATGGATTTCAAGAGCCAAAGCGACTGAGATCAAAGATCATGGATAGATTCACCTTGAACTGTCTGTATACATGCAACCATTTACAATTCGCGTAAACTATAAACCGCTGTAGACTTGTTACCTCCCTTGAATTAAGTTTTTGGTCAGAACTTGGGCGGTTCATTTATACAAAGATTAGTTACACCCTGGTCTGGTTTACCCCCCCCCCCCCCAAATCCCAAGCCTCTAATTGACAGTGTTGTAATCAGTGATTATGGCAAAGTGTAGTCGAGATAGTTTCCGGAAAATCCAGCATGGCTTCCCCATGTCAGTGATGAAGGGCGAGGGACCTGACAAGGGCCAGTGATGCAAGTTGGGGGATCTGGCAAGGACCTGTGATGCAGAATGGAGGACCTAGCAAGGACCAGTGACACATGATAGAGGACCTGACAAGGACCAATGACGCAGGACGGAGGACCTGAAAAAAGAACAAGTGGAAGGAAATCTTACTTTTCAAGAAGAAACAGGCATCTTTAGTTTTGTTTACCGCATCGATGAGATTTTTAACTTCCATACCAATGCTGAAAGTAGAAGATGTATTTTTATTAAAGATTCATTATGTTAGATTTAGATACAAAAGCTGGCCGTTCTTGCTATAATAGTTCAAAAAACAGATAATGCAAAATGAATATATTGAAAATTTTATTCACATTTCATTCTGAGCGAAGTTATCACGGTTTGGACTTTTGGAAAGATCCGTCGTTGATTGTATTTTGTCGTAACAACGGTATTTGTTATTCGATACTTTGCATCGCTTCTCCATTTTTAAATCAAATCAATAAATATCGAATGTGTTTTAATCCGTTTAAAATCGCAGCCATCTGATGATCTAGAGAGTTGGTTATAGGCTTGTCATATTAATAAATGTCTAAATAATAATTTAAATAACATTTGAAACCAAAATAAAGTGACTTAGATCCTTCTTCCCTGGGGCTCTTCAATTTCAGGTCCAAAGACCTGCAATAGGCAGGTTTACCTCTGTATCATTAAAATATGCAAGATTGTTTTTGATCGCCATGTCTAGTTTCAACTTGCATTTCAGAAATAAAATGAAATGGTGTTAACGTCTAACTTTCTACACCCACGGACCTACGGCATACTCTTATATCGAATTCCAACTGTCAATGGTGCTTTTAAGTGCATGCCAATGTGTATATATGTGACCATGTTTCGTCCCATCCCGTGGAAAGTTCTCGACAACGACCGGGATCTAACCCAAGACATCCAGGTTAACAAGCCACTGTCTTACTTACTGAACCACCGCGTTGCATTGTCGACAGTAAAGATGAAGGGGATAAAGAGATAGTTTGCTTCAAGATAAAAGACTATTATATAGGAAACAGCAATACGACCTTCAAAGATCGTGATCTTCATGAAATCGCTCTTTTATTTAATAATAATTTGGATTCATACAGCTTTTCTTCTAAAGATACTCGAGTACGTTACCACCGACACCAGATATAGACTCTGAACATACTTACTTGAGTACGTTACCACCAGCAATAACCTTTAAGATACTTACTGAAGTACGTTACTACCGTTATCAGATATAGCCTCTTGAGATACTTACTTGAGTACGTTACCATCAGATATAACCTCTAAAGATACTTACTTGAGTACGTTACCAACAGATATAGCCTCTTGAGATACTTACTTGAGTACGTTACCATCAGATATAACCTCTAAAGATACTTACTTGAGTACGTTACCATCAGATATAACCTCTAAAGATACTTACTTGAGTACGTTACCATCAGATATAACCTCTAAAGATACTTACTTGAGTACGTTACCATCAGATATAACCTCTAAAGATACTTACTTGAGTACGTTACCACCGATACCAGCTATAGCCTTTTTCGGATCGTTGTTAAAATCTTTAAAAGCTTCAATGATAGCTTTAATAGATGTATAAATCTGTTTACCAGCTCGTGGTACAATTATAGTTACAGTCTCTAATAATTGCTGTAAAAATAAAATAAATATATGTATCAAAATCTGTGTACATAACATAGACGTGTTATCAGGTGTTCTAGAGAGAGTAAGCATACCCTGTCATGTGTATGGCACCATATTGTTAGATTATCGTATATTGAAAACATGTGATGACTTCATTCAACATTCTACGTGAATTCGCAAATGATAAGTGGTATCAGTTCTTCCAGAAGGAGTAAGCATAATAATTCCCATGTATAACATTTTGCACTAGTTATATACTGAACGCAACAAAATGTGTTAGCCATGTGAACTCCTCAAATGGTGAGTGATATAAGAGTGTTTCTATGAGGAGACAGCAAAGTGGAAGAGTAGTCCGTAGCGCCGCTGTCCAGGCAAAGTTTCCTCATAGCACACTATATGGCATCTTCATTAGCCCAGTAGAACGGTAAACACTATTTCAGTGTATTTGTTATAAATATGCAAAATGTCTTACGTTATAGAAGCCCATGACATCTTTTCGGATATCGTTGTACAGGGTGACAACTTTGGTTACTAGGTTACGTAATGGCCGGATAAAGGGAGGTAAGTCCTTCTCATCAATCTCTCCAAGTTTTTTCATTGTTGCTATGGCTTTTTTACCCAGATTTAAAACCTGAAAAAGAGAAAATATAATGCTTCAATAATCCAAACTGATTAACTCACGAAACAGACGAACTCGAGGTACTAATACAAAACAAAACCGACAAGATAATCCCGCGAACAAGATAACCACAAGATAAACAACATAGATATTACAAGAAATCAACAACAAATATGAATTCATTTGAATGGATCCGAGAAATGGTTCTGGGGCCCTGACGTGAGCACAGGAGGATACTTGCCGAAACGTCGTACTTTTAGAATAAAACCAGTGATTGTTTCCCTATAAACAATTGTGTTCTGTCAATGTGTTTTTCAATCGGCAAAAGACACTTATCTGACCACTACACCAAACGGTACGATATCTTCTTGTAGTTCCAACATTGTATTAACTTGACCCTCTATTTTACACGGTGTGTTAACTTGACCCTTTATTCTCCACGGTGTATTAATTTGGCCCTTTATTCTACACGGTGTGTTAACTTGACCCTCTATTCTACACGGTGTACAAAGGCCTACTAACCTTCAATGGTAATTCTTCAAGTGCTGCCTTGAACTCGTCAATAATTTGACCAATAGTAATATCACCTCTAATGATCGATTTAAACAGATCAATACCCTTCTTAATCTCCTTCACGACGTCATTCTTTATTTTATCATAAAGTTCAACCAATTGTTTCAGATTGTCAATACCGAATTCCTGAAAATAAAAAATCATAGCAACAGTATTAACCACCCATTGAATGGAAATAGACGAAGGTTAACTTTTAACCAATTCACAAGATCCTAAAAATTAAAATAGGGCAACGATTTTAGCGCGATATATTTCAATAATTAAGTTGTCACTGTATGGAAACCCTATTATTTCACAAAATCCTAAAAATTGAAATTAAGATAATTCTATTATCATGTTAATTTGTGTACATGTAAAACTATTTTATCTAGTACTGAATTTTTCATAAAATGTTGGGTACTGAATGTCTCATTATGCTGGGTACTGAATGTCTCATTATATTGGTGATAGAATTTCTCATAATGTTGCGTATTGAATTTCTCATAAAATGCTGGGTACTGAATTTCTCATAAAATGTTGGGTATTGGATTTCTCATAAAATGTCGGGTACTGAATTTCTCATGAAATGTCGGGTACTGAATTTCTCATAAAATGTTATTGGTAGTAAAATTGAAAACACACTAATGATAGTTAGTCAATTGTAAGCTTAAAAATCCGACAAAGAGGTTTTATTTAACATTTAGCTTGATGTAAATATATTGAACGGGTCTACCTGTAACAGATTAATATTATATTCAGCCTTTCCTTTAAAACAAACTCGAGCTAGAAAGAAGTCGAGATTTATACCAACAACACCAAGATGTACTCTGGCATAGGCTTCATCATGTATATCAACGATGGCATGACCACTTAATGCAGCTGAAATATAGGACAAACAAACTGTTATTTATTACACTTACTTAGATTTTTATTTTTATTTTTGGTCTGGCTGACCTTTTAGGGTTTTAGGGGACTTCTTGTTCGCTTTTTGGAGATGAGTCGATTCCTATACGAATCCGACGTGGTTTCCACTTGTCAGTGGTGTAGGACCGGTGGCCTGACAAGGACAGCTGTCTAGTCGTTCGGATTGGACGAAAAATCGAGGTCCCGTATATACATTGGCATGCACGTAAAAGATACCTTGGCAGTTGGAATTCGATATAAGAGTAGGCCAAAGTGCCCGTCTTCATTAGCTCATTCGGAGCGGAACAGTAATGCGTTAAACCCGATTTCATTCCATTTCATTTCGCTATACGAATCAGTCCTAATACAATTATTATATGGAATTCAAGTTACTTGAAATTTCTATTTCTAACGACGTTTCGACTAGGCTTCTTTCGTCCTTATCCAGCACAGAATGACAACCATAGTACACTGAAGATATATATTTCATATAATTGTGGCACGCCTTATTCTCATCCAGGTAATAAATGTCACTTAAACATTTCAATCTTTCTAATTTCGACTAAATAAAATGAGTTTATACACATAAATATGAAACCCTTGCTACAGAAAAACACAACTTACAAATCTTTAAATCTAGGAGATTCTTCACAAGGATTCCAAACGAAGCCCCTATTTTTGTCGATCCCAACATTTTCTTCCAGTCAATGCTCGGAGATTTCAGTACAAATTCAAAACCTTTGTCCAAAAAGCCACGTCTATGCCGGGAATGAACAGCCACATCTTGTGTATTGAGATCCCAGGGGTTGAAATACATAGAACTATCGTTACCAGTGAAAGACCTGAAATAAACACTTTAGTTAAAAACTCTGATATTCACGGCTGGAGATAAGGCACCTGTCTTACACAACTTGGGGCCTATATGTTATAATAAACACGTTGTGTGATGTACGTGTCTAAGTCTGTGACAGATGTATGATCTTCAGGCTTGCTGATATTCTGACCATGTTAGATAAAAGTTGGAAACTTATTCTGACAATGTTTCGTTGAAAAATATGATATCCTGGCTTTTCAAATAGTTTTATGTTATTAGAAGGTTAGTTGGGGATAAAAGCATAAGTATACAGTAGTGTAAAAAGAAACGTTGATGGCACTAACTTATAAAATAAATAGTGTTTAATTTGTTCAGAATGTGACTGATATTGTAATACTATAGTATGATATGATTGATATTGTAATAATATAGTATGTAACATACCTGTTGTTGGGCCTATAAGGTGTAATATGTTTAGCTCTGGGATGTGCCTGATATTGTAATAAAGCTTCATATCTCACGGTATCGTGTTCATCATACATGGCTGTCTTTAACATCAGATTGGCCGCCTGTACAAATATAAATATAAATAACATTATCTGTTTATATTTCACGCTACGATCAACTACATTATATTAATTATTGCTCATTTAGGGGGTTGGGTGGTCGAATGGTCTAACGTGTGTGCTTTCGACCATAAGGTCTGTCATAGAGTCAAGTAGAATGCTTTCAAGTCTACACTTGTACACGACAAGGAGTATGGTCACCTGCCCTACCTTGTGGGTTTTGTCCGGGTCACCCCATACACGCAAACGGATTATCTAATTAAAATTGAAGAATACTTTAGTCCCGAAATTGGCGGGGAGGCGGCAGACCCGTCGAAAACCCATGCGGCTGGGCCCTGCTCCTCGTCTGACTCAATGCGAACCTTATAATCTAAGTGTAAACAGTTGATAGATTGAAACTTACATGATCATGATGATAGCCACGTAAAGCATGTACACCGGCTCGTTTGATCCATTGACAGTTGGTAGAATTGATGTGTGATACGATATATTCATATGATTGTTCCATTTTAGCGTTACCCAGGGCACTGAGTAGATTGACTCTCCAGATATCATCTCTTTCTATTTCTTCTTCTGTCAACACAGATCTTCTCACACGGAAGGCATGTGGATCTGGAAATAAACATATAAAATTAAAAACTAGTGTCATGCTACCGGCTGAAAATATCTTTGATCGTCTGTTTCACAAAATACTAAAATAAACAAAGGTGTCCTCAAGCAGAAAAAGACAAATTTTCCTCCCCTGTCCCTATCCCACGTCCTTGTAAGGGGGGGGGGGGCAAATGGGGTTTAACGGCCACTAACATATGGTTTAATCTTATTTCATGGGAGGAAACCAGAGAACCCGGAGAAAACCCACAAGGTTCGACAAGCGACACGGCTGTAACGTGCAATCGAAATCACGTCACTCGTCTCAATTACAGACCTTATGAAGCACACGTTAATAGATATTTATGCGGCTCCTGGGGGTTCTGGGGGTCTGGAGCGATATGCCAACTGCACACCCGCTCCTGGATATTCAAAAGGGTTAAAAATGTATGTTTGTGGCTAACTATTTAAATCTGTACCTACCATGATATCCCAGCATATTTTCAATCTTTGAAATGGCTTCTTTGGCTTCTTCATGGCGTCCTTCTTGATTCAGTTTACGAACAACCGAACCTATCGTTAGCAGTATACGATGATAAACTTCCCCTTCTTGTAAAATCTCCAGAGATTTCTCAGGCTCAAAACCAAGTTGAAATAATTTTGATAAAAATTTCTGAAATAATTAAAACAATCGATACTATTTTCCAATATCTAAATTTAAATGAGTATTATTTAACATAAAACTAGTGAAGCTACCATATTACAAATACATTAGGTCTTTGGTACCAATGCGGACAGATGGATTTTAATATTAGGTTATTGTGGACACAGCTTAAAGAAGATGGACCGTGGTGCGATTTGCAAAAACAAAAAATGTTTCAGTTCCCCAAAATGTCTGACATTTGCTAACTACATTTGTTTAAACCTAGACTTCTCCTTGGAGTATTCATCAGTAAATGTTTTCACACGGTTTCTTGCTGGCACAGCGATCCATAATATCGATTTTCTTTCCGTATTCCACTCACAAATGTTGAACCCTTGTCTATTTAAAAAGATCTGGAGGTGTTGATAAATCTCTAGATAAAAAGATGATCTGGTCACGGATGCTGTCTGTGGACTCTCAACCACCAAACACGGCATGTAAATACAGAGTCTTGTCACGGGATGTAAATACTAGCCCGTCACTAAACTTGGATACTAGACCATAAAAACACGTGGTTCTGAATTTGTATACGTGGTTTTGAAGCACGTGGTGTAGTACATCAACATACCTTATTAGGAACCTCATCCATGGATATGATATGAACCATGAGCCTCATGACGAGATCTTTATCAGGTTGTTCACTATTCAACACTTTCTCAATAAGAACATTCTGAGCTCTATCTGATCCAGTACCAGCTATAGCATCTAACATGTGGTTTCTATCTTTCTCATTTCTTATTGATCTGTAACAAATATTTATAAATATAACAAATATAAACACATACCAGTTATATTTACAGTTCTTCTTTGTCTTCATAAATAAATAGACATGTGAATCATATCAATGATGTTTTGTTAAAAATTTCAAAACTTATAAATTTGGAACCAAAGACTTTTGAACGGCACAACCAATTACTTTGGGTTTTCAAATGAGTCTTTGTCCCAAAGAAATAAGAAAGAACATTTTTACATGTGTTCACGAAGAACAGAATATCAAATTGAGGTGTTCTGACACACTGGCATATGTAATTTTTAATTACTGGGATTTTAATTACGGTTGTTATAAAGAGCTGGCAGTTCTGGCTATAAGAGTTAGAAAGTCGATAATATAAAGGGAGTTTGTTGAAAATTTCAAATTACTCCACTCTGAACCAAGATATTAGCGTTTGAATTTTAGGCCTACCCTCGATCACCATAACTAAAGTCGGTAAAGTGATCACGTCCGGTGATATTACTAACAGTAAAAGCTCAAATATTACCAGTGGTAGTCAATACATCCTTATATGGGTTTAAAATAAAAGAGCAATATCTAATGGACTGTGTGATGCGACTTACAGTGGATTTAGGTTCAGATAATGGTCAGTTAAATTTTCAAAATGGTCATCATCCAGCAATTCTAGACAGGTTATAAGTCGATGGAAACCATTGGTCATCTCTTGAGTAGCTGAAACATTCAACATTCACTTTATGTAAGGTTATCCAGTAGGATCTATTAGATACAATATTGTGTATTCGGTTATCCAGTGGGATCTATTAGGTATAGTAGTGTGGATTCGGTTATCCAGTAGGGTCTATTACGTACAGTAATTTGTACTCGCTTACGCAGTGGGATCTGTATTCTGTATTCGTTTACCAAGTAGGATATAATACGTACAGTATTTTATATTCGTTTATCCAGTTAAATATATTACGGAAAGGGCAGCAACGAGAACCGTCACGGTACTGGTTCGAATCCCAGCGTGGGTCGACAGACAAACAATGTCCACAGAAGTTCACTTTGAAAATATATCAGAATTATGCGGAAACACAGCTTTTCAGTTAAAATTGTCCTACTTCGCATGGGGGTTGGGTGGACGAATTGAGTCCAGTAGTGTGGTTCGTGACAAGGGGTAAGGTCGCCGGTCCAACATCGTGGGTTTTCTCCGGGTCCTCCGGTTTCCTCTCACTGCTATAGACCCCTACGCGCAAGCGAATTAATAAAATAAAATTGAACCATATGACCTAGTTGTGTCGAGTGGACGGTAAACCCCCATCTCTCTCTCTCTCTCTTTCTCTCTCTGATCGTCATTATATTAAGTATTGACCATTCGAGTAACAATTGTTATCGTTGAAGAAAATTTTTATTAATAAACTTTACCTTGCTTTTCCGGTTGATTTCTCATAATGGTCAAATTGCCTTTAATTTGTTCCAGAATAACTTTAGGTGTTTCACTTCTGATTGGATGTTGTTTTACCTGTAATAAAATCAACATTGGGTTCAGGTAAAAAAATCAGAATTAGGTTTGAACACAGCTTTTTTAAGACCATAAGGCACATCTAAACATTTAGGCACGATTGCGCATGTCTCGCTTTCCCATTCCCACCCTATGCTGGACTATCCTCTCAAACAGGACTATCTCTTCTGGTAAGACTTTCAGGAAGCACCTGTCTGTGATATCACGTCTGTGGAAGGGCAAGTTAAGCCCCACGGACGAAAAATGTATATTATTTAGCCAGAAATTAAGATTTATTAAATCCACATACCATATAGAACTATTAAACATCTCCTCGAGACATTAAAATTAGGAATCTTTAAACAGTATTATAGTAAAGAACATCTAATTGAATTCACTAAACGTGTAAATTTTATTATTTTTGATTATCCTTTTCATCTTTTATGTTAGATATGAATTGTTTATATTTATAGAGGGGTTAAATAGGCCTTTTCTACAACCCTTTCATTTATAAATAAAATATTCATAATAAGACGACTTTATAGATTTACTAGTTCTTGGTTTATTACATACAACGGTTCAATACTCTTACAGGTATCTGTAATAAACCAAGAAGTAGTAAATCCATAACGTTGTGTTATTATAAAGAGTATACCTCTATTTCTAAATGTCATTTAATGATATAGAATAAACTATTGTTTTATAAAAATTATTAAACAATTAGTTAATACACACCTTGATCCACTGGATACAATATTATATTTACCTTATCTATATGAATAGAATCTGACGTCACATCTATTTTACTACGGTCCGGTGTTGACGATAGTTGATGTTTAGAAATAAATTCAAGCTTTCCTTTACCAAACGCCGCCATTTCCGGATATTCTAAAGATAAACAAGTTTTATATTGATATATATGCATGTTTAAATATAGATTTAAAATAATATCATTTGAAATTCGTTCTTAGTAACTTAAAGCTAAAGACTGTTTAAATATCGATTCGATTTATCGGTCGAGTCCCTGTGTTATCGAGTCCCTGTGTTGTCGAGACGCTGTGTTTTGTTCATATTGAAATTCGTAGAAAAAAAAATTGTAAAATTAAATCTACCTGTTTCAGTGAAGTCGTTTACTGCTTGGCTCGGTCTCTGGCCTTCAAAGGCATTGTACCTAAAACATAATCAGTTAAGCCATTAAAACACGGGTTACTGGATCATATTAGTTAAAGGAGGTAAATCTCTAACTTATTTCAATCACTATTCATGTTGTTATCTTGTCGTGAGAATAACAGATACAAATATTCAATATTTAAGACATATAATGAACATTTTGAAATCACTACACGAGTCGTGTACTCTTACGTTTCTGGCGCCATTTGTAATGAACAAAGAAAGGCATATCCTACAAAACAATCCGGAAGTAAATAGTAATGGCTGATTAACAAACAACAAAATAACAATTAAAAAAAACTTTTAAACGACTATCGTTCAATTTGTACTGTTCACGTATTTTAATGAACATAATTGATTAGAAATTGCTTGAAAACTCTCTCTATATATACATTTATATTACATTAATATGTTCTTTTAGATCTCTCTCGTCTTTTTCAAGGTTCCAACAGAGTCACATACCCTTTGATATAGGTTTATCACAGGATCACAGGTTGTACATGTCACATACGACTTCCTTGAATATGATAGAGAGCAGGACCCAAAGGGGGGGTTGGGGCAGGGCCACATCCAGGAAGTCAATATTGAAGGGGCCCCTAAATCAGTTCTAAAACACCTTTTGTACCATAAATTCAAATGTCCTATGTTACGGTGGAATTTAACAAGGGGGACAAAATATTGGCAACCAGTGCACAGGCGTTTGAGTAGGTCCCCTTTTCACTGTTGCTGCAAGAGCTCCAGTGACATTTTCAGCTAGGGGTCCATGCAGGCGTCATCCGGCCCTGATAGACAGCCCCCTAGTGTTCTAATCTCAATGTCTCTGAACTCCGTATTACAATCAACCGACTGTAACTCTAGTACAATAGAGCTAGGTAATATAGTTGTAGCTTTAAATAAACCTACCCTGGCACATTCTGTCTCATTGCAGAGAAATGTTCATCAACATCGACTGTATGAATAGTTCCCAGATCAGTGTTAAAATATAAAGTCTGAAAATATATCATTTACATTTTATTATAGGTAAGTGATAAATACAGAGTCTGGAAATATATCATTTACATTTTATTATGAGTAAGTAATAAATACAGCGTCTGAAAATATATCATTTACATTTTATTATAGGTAAGTAATAAATACAGAGTCTGGAAATATATCATTTACATTTTATTAGAGTAAAGAATAAATAGAATACCTAATATCCATGTAGTTCTGATTAACAACTTAAATCCAATCGACATATTTTTTGACCGTTTCTGATATCTTTACCAAGGACGGTGGCTAGTCGTTTGGGTGGGACGATAAGTCCATCGTAGACGGGTCATACCCTTGGGGAACAGGGTTATCTCCTTTATGTTTTATCGAAATGAAATGGGGTTTAACGTCCTACTGTTCTGATCCTACTGGGCCAATCAAGACTGACAGACGTCATGCTGTGTGCTATGAGGGGAATATTTGCCCGGACAACTGCGCTACGTTCGTTTTCGTACACATCAATATGTACACGGGACCTCTGTTTTGTCGTCTCACCAAGTTGTATCACCAATATTAACGCCCATGTTTCAGCATCCACCAGGGTAATGGCGACTGGCACACAGCATGCAGTCAGCGATGAAGGAAATCTTTACCGGGCAACGGCATTTCCTACTGTTTATAAAATTATAAAATAAATAATGGTATTAAGATAGTGTTTATAGAATAATGGTAAAGATAATGTTTTCTTTTACCTTGGTATATTTTGATCGTGCGTGTTCCAGGGGATGATCGTGTCGTGTTTTTGTGAAAACTTTTCCTTCAGAATGAGGCTTAACTTTGTAGGTTGAATTGTGACGACCTAGAAGAAACAAGAAAAAAATAAATATTAAAATACTTATAAACATTTCTATCTTAGCCTAGAAGCTTCTAAACATGTGTTTTATTACAGATAAATTCTTGTTTAACAGGATTGTGTGATCGATGTGATTGAATTGTGTGATCGATGTGATTGGATGGTTTGTGTAATCGATGTGATTGGATTGTGTTGTTGATGTGATTGGATGGTTTGTGTGATTGACACTTACCTTCATGCCCGAGTTCCTGTACATGGTACTGCCAACCATCATCAGTTTTTTCCATAGTGGTCTGAAATATAAATACGTCATAATCATCTTTCATTTATATTACACAAGATTAACATTCAAATATACAGACTTAATCGTTCGATTAAATTGAAACGCAAATAAATAAAATCGTTCATTTATACGTATAACCATCTTTTATTTATATTTAGATGTTTTAAGCAAAAGTTAGTAGCCTAACGTGTGGCTCTTGCCGTGAGTTTATGCGTCTGATACCCAAATCCAGGTCTAGGTCCAATTCCAGACACCCCCCCCCCCTCAGGTCCAGACTATAAGTTAGTAGGTTCAGGTCCAAATCCCCCCCCTCCCCAGGTCCAGACTATAAGTGAATGACTAGTATTATAAAGTTTCAAATAAACAAATAAGCAAGATCATTTTTTTCTTTTTCAGAATGTTAGATACGAGACAATATTCTCTTACTGGAGAACGTCTCAAGATAATGATCTATGTAATGAAAGTACTCGAACTACTGATAAAATAAAGAATTGCTTGTCATTAAATATATGATAGCATTACCTGTCAGGTAAAAGTCACAAGATCATGGCCCATGAAAGAAAAAATACATGGACTTAACAGTTATAATAAAATCAAGAAATGTTTGTCATTACCTCGTCTTCATGGTGTAATCGAGCAGCAAACATGGCCGCCATTCCTTTCTTGACAACCACCATTTCATCATCCTCATCACTAGGGTAGAACACTTCCAATATTTCTCCATGACGATTTATCAAAAATGAAAACCTAAAATATAAATAGAATAATAATGATAATTCCCACGCCAATGACACATCATGTCTGCGGTCCTTTTTAGGAAGTCTATTGATAAGTGAAATAATTATTCTCCGACACTAATGATACTTACCATTTAGAGAAATTAACATCACTTCCTACCGTATCTGAAACAGTAAAGAAAAAAGAACAACGTAATCTTAATCCATGCTAAAATTAAGAAAACAACATCAAAGATTCGCCCTATTTTTTAAAAAGAGGTGAAGATTACAGATGGCGTTGACGTTTGACAATATCAGATTTATATTGTCTCCAGTAGACACAGAATGTTGACATATTGTCAATTGATCAAAGCGTTGTAAATACCGAATTCAACTTAAATAATAATAATAATAATATGTACATTTATATAGGGTGAGTATTCCATGTACTGAATCATGCTCGCGGCTCAAACAATTAAGTTGATTAATCCTAATAACAAGATGATTTGAAACAAGAAAACGTTTGAGATGATTTTAATGATTTCTGGTAGATTGTTCTACAGTTTAGAAGTATTCACTGAGAACGATCTGTATCCAAATGATTTTAGCTTCCACCTTTGGCAATACAACTGATGAAGTCTGTTTGACCGACGATCACGCGAGGGAACATGTATTTGTATAAGGTCAGATAACTATTTTGGAGCTAAGCCATTCATTCACACAATGATAATTATTTTTGAAACGATATTTATTTTAGATTTTCAATTTCGACAATCTGGACAACATATGTAAGTTACGCCGTCTGCCTACAATTAGCTCCTCTTGAGAACAGACAGACACGGAGCTAAATGACCGACATGAACTGACGATTTTAGTCGAAAACACTTTCAAGAATTTTGAGAAGTGTTTGTACTACTTCCATTTAATAAAATTGAAAATGTTTATTTAGTCTCTGTGTGTATGAAAGATGTAAAGCGGATGAGAATCGCGTTACAAAATCTTATACTAATTTGTTTGATATGGCGACCATTCAGGACAGAGATCTATTCTGAAAGTAACTAGATCTCTGTGTACAGAATGCATGGACAACTTACGTGGAGAAGATGTTTAATTTATGTGGAGAAGATGTTTAAAGACAACTTACGTGGAGAAGATGTTTAAAGGTAATTTACGTGGAGAAGATGTTTAAAGGTAACTTACGTGGAGAAGATGTTTAAAGGTAACTTACGTGGAGAAGATGTTTAAAGGTAACTTACGTGGAGAAGATGTTTAAAGGTAATTTACGTGGAGAAGATGTTTAAAGGTAACTTACGTGGAGAAGATGTTTAAAGGTAACTTACGTGGAGAAGATGTTTAAAGGTAACTTACGTGGAGAAGATGTTTAAAGGTAACTTACGCGGAGAAGATGTTTAAAGGTAACTTACGTGGAGAAGATGTTTAAAGGTAACTTACGCGGAGAAGATGTTTAAAGGTAACTTACGTGGAGAAGATGTTTAAAGATAATTTATGTGGAGAAGATGTTTAAAGACAACTTACGTGGAGAAGATGTTTAAAGGTAACTTACGTGGAGAAGATGTTTAAAGGTAACTTACGCGGAGAAGATGTTTAAAGGTAACTTACGTGGAGAAGATGTTTAAAGGTAACTTACGTGGAGAAGATGTTTAAAGGTAACTTACGTGGAGAAGGTGATTAAAGGTAACTTACGCGGAGAAGGTGATTAAAGGTAACTTACGTGGAGAAGGTGATTAAAGGTAACTTACGTGGAGAAGGTGATTTAAGGTAACTTACGCGGAGAAGATGTTTAAAGGTAACTTACGTGGAGAAGATGTTTAAAGGTAACTTACGTGGAGAAGGTGATTAAAGGTAACTTACGCGGAGAAGATGCCTGTGAAAAGGTAAATGTGTGAACTCGAATCAATATCTCTTGAAGGTCATCTTGTTCACGTACATTAATATACCCCACCTAGAAAATATAGATATATATTATATAGTATCATTCAAAATCCTAAATTCTGTATAGTTTCAACAAATAATATCTAAAACGTGCAAAAACAACGTAATTAATAGTAAGCGCACGAGGACCACACTACACACAAACAAAACCGATACGACAAACCCACGGACAGGACACAAACTTCACAGATATTGAAAGCGATCAAGTATGGAAGACCAAACAGCTCTTTAATTCTTAGTTCCCAATTCAAAGTCCTTAATTCTTATTTCTTCATTAGTTGTCGTATTTCGATATTTATATGTTAAATGTATCCTAAAATCAATATCTGTATCTTAAAATCAATATTTGTATCTAAAAACCAATATTTGTTTTACAAATGAGACATTTGTCATATCAGCTTTGTAACTTATATATTTGTTTAATTCAATTGCTGTTTAATATAAAAATACAATTTATTTTAGAAAATCAAAAATTGTATTTAAGTTTCAGCAGAATCATACAACAAAGAACAAATCTCGAACAACAAATTTCCAAATACTAATCTTGAAAAACATTTGTCAAAAACCATTTCTCCAAAACATCTAACTTGAACATTATGACGGCATGGGACACTAGTTTAAGTGTACATTTAAAATACAAATGTCGAAATACGATAACAAATGAAAAGATAAGAATGAAGGATTGTGAATTAAGAACTAAGAATTAAAAACCCTGAATAAAGAGCTGTTTGGTCTTCCATATTTAACAACAGAAATATTTCAAGTGATTGGATCCGGTTGTTCCGGGCTATTTATGTTATTGATGTAATGTCTGCCAAATATGTTCTCTTATACAACGATTTAACATTCTTTAAATTCTTAATATGTACTCTTACACAACGCTGTAACTTTCTTAATATGTACTCTTATACAACGCTGTAACTTTCTTAATATGTACTCTTATACAACGATGTAACTTTCTTTAATAAGACCTATTCTATTGGACATGACACAATATCAGGTTCAAACGAACGGTTTGAGGTAGCGGGTGGGGTCGTCAATGTTATTTTGCGCTGTTTTTCATAGATGAAACCATTGGGATAACATGAGAACGATTAAAGAGCTGAATCTGTCTATTGCAGGTGTTTTACTGGCTTCAAATGTTATATAAATTATTAATTAAACATCTGTCGATATGATCGACTCTCTATGTCATCGGATGGTCGAGATATTAAATGAATTAGAACAACCCCGCCATTTAATAATTTAACGGTAAAATGGATCATAGAGACTTTCTTTATTATCATAGCAATGATACTCGATAATCGAAATTATCTACGCTACATCTTGCCAAAACTTCAAACACTTATAACTCTCTCGTACACATATTGACGTGCACGCAAGGGGACCCTTGACAGTTGGGATTAGATATAAGAATAGGTCGTAGTGCCGCTGTCCGGGCACAATTTGCCTCAATGGATCATCCCGGGTAGAGCGGAAAAGTGGGATGTTAAGCCCATTTCATAAGGCCTGTCATTGAATCAAGTGGCGTGGGTTCGATTCCCAGGTTGTACGTGACAAGGACTAGGGTGACCTGACCATCGTCGTGGGTTTGCGCGGTGTCCTCAGGTTTCCTACCACTGCGAAAAAAAACTACTACGCGCATGCGAATTTTTGAAATAACATTGAACCATACGTTAGTCCCAAAAAGACCTAGTTTGTGTCGAGTGGACGTTAAGTCCCATCTCTCTCTCTCTCTCTCTCTCTCTCTCTCTCTCTCTCCCATCTCTCTCTCTCTCTCTCTCTCTCTTTATCTCTTTCTTGTTAAACAGGACAATATGCATCAGAGGGTGTGTTATCACAGTGTCTAGTTTAAACAATATAATATATTCTTTTAACATCCTTCTAGACCGACCTTGTCACATATCCTAATACATATATACATGAAATTTAACTTAAAATACATCTCCATTACACTTGATGTCAAGGAGTTTTATACATAGCGTATAGTTTATTATTTACATTTGATATCAGGGAGATTTATACAGTATTATATTATATGGTGCACAGTTCATTATTTAATATCACGATTCATTTTAACACCTTTCAATACATACATTTAAAACAATGATTTTTTGATGTTTTTTTTTCTTAGAAAACGCGAGATGTTTGGGTTTATTTTATTTTTAAATTCCGGCTTCTATTTTATGTTTGAGCATGTTAAACCAGGCGTAACTACCTTCAACAGGACTAGGCCTCTTTACTGGTCTATTTATTTATATAGATAAATATTATATAATTGCAGCGAAAAAAAGATAAATAAAAATTGGCATTGAAATACGCTTTACATTATTTACTGACGTGGTATTACTTAATGACGTGGTAGATGTGGTACTATTCAATGACATGATACTATTTAATGACGTAGTACTACTTAATGACGTAGGAGACGTGGCACTATTCAATGACATGGTAGTACTCAATGACGTGATATTATATTATGACGTGGTACTATGTTAATATAGTTTAAACAATGCTTTATGCTATCAATGTGAAAAGATTCAATTTTGTTATTTGTGAAATAAAACTGACAGATAAGACGTAATTTTATTGCTCACAGAACAATTTTAGAAAAAAAAAAGATGATGTATGCACTATTAAAAATTTAGCATAATTTATCATCATGAACGGTGTAAAAACCAATGACTAAAATCACTGAAATTTGAATTAAAATATTTTCATTGACTGATAGTCGTTAGGCCGCTTTCTTAGAATATTTTAAATTAAGTTTAGAATTCACAGAAATGTAGGGTGTAAAAATGTGTTGTACATGAATAGAGACACTGGCTATTGATTGCATAACGTACAGAAATCACCGTGTTATGTACGGTATAAAAACCAAGTCACCTACACGATATATTCACGGTTCAGATATTATCAAATATACATGACGTATATATATACTTATACAAAATTTACTGAACCGTGAAAAACTTTACACTTACATATCACTCTTCGTTCGTTCAGGATTATAATTAAGTGTACTTTAAAAGTCCAGTTGGAGTGTACAATATTGTACGAAACACAGTCATGAATATTAACGGTTGAATGAGTCGATAACAACTTTATTCTGCCCCTCGCGCAGTGCTGAAATACCATACGCGTCACGTATTGAACTGGTTTATTTCAAGCGGACAATGCCCCCCTCCCTCCTCTCTGACAATGTTGGTTTTATAGGTTTTTTGGAATCTGC